CAATAACAAAGTTTACAATGTTCAGCATCCAACAAGACATTTGAAGAATCATACAAAGAACTGAGTGTGACCCATGAATAAGCAAAAAATAACTGAATAGAAAAACACCCAGAAATGAGAGAATGACAAAAAGAGCAGACAAGGACCTTAAAGCATCTGTTAGATATTTGATCTAATAATGAGAAGAGAAATGGAGAATCTAAGAAAGAACTAAATGGAACTTCTAGATATGATAAAACAGTATCTGAAAAGAAAATTTTGCTGAGTGGGATTAATGGTAGGTCAGACACTGCCGAAGAAAGATCAGTGAACTTGAATGTATAGCACCAGAATCGATCCAGATGAAGGAGCGAGACAAAAGACTGAAAAGCAGAGAACTGAGCTGTGAGACTACCAGTCTAACACATGTCATTTGAGTTGCAGAAGGAGAGGAGAGGAACAGGAACAGAAAAAGTATTTGAAGAAATGGCAAAAATCTTCCCAATTTGATGAACGTCAGAAACCCACAGATAGAAGGACCTTAACAAACTCCCTGGAGTGAAAACATTCACCACTATACCACAGCACATCATAATTAATCTCCCCAAAAACAGCAGTAAAGAGAAAACATAAAAGCCGGTAGGGGCAGGGGGTGGGGTGCTCACAGGGCGCATAGTGGACCAGGGACTGCAGCCAGAAGACAGAGGGGTCACCTCTTTAAAGTGCGGAAAGGGAAGACTAATTGTCAACCAAGAATTCTGTATTCGGCAAATACATCCTTCAGAAATGAAGGTAATAGATAAACCTCTTTAGAAAAACAAGCAGGGAGAATTCATCGCCAGCAGACTGGCACTGTAGGAAATGTTAAAGCCCTGTAAGCAGAAGGAAGGCGATGCCAGATGGAGTCTTAGATCTACACAAAGGAGTGAAGGGTGCTGGAAATGGCAGCCATGCTACTAAATGCAAGAGACTTTTTACTCGCAACATATTTTTTTAAAAGATGATTGTAGAGAGCAAAAATAATGTGTAGTTCAGAGCATGTGAGGAAGGAAGTAAAATGCCTGACGACTCAGAGCACGAGGTGGGGTGGAGGCTTGCCATGTACGGGGCTGCCATCGCACTGCCATCGCACTGCGGCTGTGTAACCAAAGGTACATCGCGGTAAGTTACAGTGCACGTTGTAAATCCCAGGGCGGCCACTACAACGTTAGACCAAAGAATAACCAGTGAACGCACAGTAGAGATAAAATAGAATTCTAACAAAAAATTCATCAAAAGTAGCAGGAACAAAGACCAGATGGACAAAAAGAAAGCAAATGGCAACGTGGTGGGTTTAAATGCAGTCACCTCAGTTGTTCATTAACCTGAAAGTGGTGTAAACACTCCAAAAAGCAGATGTCTGACTGGATGGAAAGCAAGACTCTGCTGATACCAGGAAGTCACTTGAAGCTGAAAACAGGCTAAAGGTGCCAGGATAGGAAACTAGGCACACAAGGCTCTCCTGGGCAGGTGTCGGTGGTCCCACAAGCACAGCAGGCAGGTGGTGGAGACGGGCTCGCGCTGCTGGAAGCCGAATCCAGGTGCCCTGCCAGTGCAGGTCCCTGTGCCCCCACTGCCCTGTCTCCTGTGTGTGCTGCTGCGCTAGCCTGGCCCCAGGCCCCCCTCAAGTCCAGTCCACCACCTGGCTTCCGTGTCCCGTGAGGTGATCTTTCAGCATGCAGTGGAGCCCACCGCCTTCCTAACGAAGCATCCCTCCTGTCTCCCCATTCAGAGGACAGGTGCCCGTCTTTCCAAGGCTGCCCAAGGCCCGAGGGCGTCCCCTGGCCAGGCCCAAGCAGCACGCCCTGGGCTCCCAAGGCTCCAGCCCCAGTGGCCTCGGGCCTTGGCCGCCGATGCTTGACTCTGGGATGTGGTCCCCTCAGATGGCCCTCGCCTTCTCCAGGTCTGCGGTGCCACCTTTTCCAAGAGGCTTACCTGGATACCTGTCTTATGCTGCCCCTCTGTCCCCCAGCCCTGGCTGTCCTGGCCCTGCCTGTTCACCTCCTTTCTCCTGAGCACGGCCACCTTCTAAAGGGCCTTGAACATGCTCATGCTTCTCAACTGTCTCCCTCCCTCAGCTGGAATGCAAGGTGCCTGTGGGCAGGACGTCGGCCTGTTCTGTTGGCTGACCTGTGCCGAGGGCCTGGAACTATGCCTGGCACACAGTAGGTGCTTGTACTTGTTGACTAAGTAGGTTGACCCACAGAGAGTGTTAGCAAGAAAGGTCCCTGGGGTGAGCTAGACAAAGTCCCCCACAGCCCGGTTCGCCAGGGCCGCATCCTGAGAACAGAGACTCCAGCTCTCTGCTGTCTGTCTGCTCGGGGCTCTGAGGCAGGGGGGAGAGGAACACCCCCGGGAGTTCATGCACATGTGGCCCTGCCGTCAGTGGAGGGGGGGGTGCCCAGGCTGCTGGGGCTGTGGAGGGGAAGGCCTGAGGGGTCCACGGCCAGGCACTGGGCTCAAGGCTTCCTGTGCCTCTGCCCCCGGGTGCACTGACTTAGGCAAGTTATTCAGCCTTTCTGCCTCGGTTTCCCACCTTGTTACCTGGTGGGAAAGGGTGGTCAAGGCGAGCCCCTGCTGTGCCCCTGACCACATGACCTGCTCAGGCCTTGGGAGGGTGAGGAGCTGGACCGTGTGAAGGTGGCTTGGGAGGTCAGGAGCCCTGCACAAATGCGGGAAAAGCAGAGGAAGAAACTTACATGTGGTGACACACGCCTCCTTCCCAGACCGGCAAGGACTTTGTCTCTGAGAGCAGCCGCGTGCAGGGCTGGGGCACCTTTTTACAGGCTGTGGGGCAAAGGGAAGGGCCTGGTTCATAAGATGTTCACTGCCACGGAACTCATCGTGCACCCTGGGGGCTGCCCATGCTGCTTCCTGGGCTAGGGGTTCTGTCCCCAAGGGCGCTCAGTGATGCCTCCGGGTCTTTGAAGCCTGTGGGCTGGCCTCCCTTAGGGCCATAGCCTCTGGGTTGGGGGCCCTTGGGTCTGCACAGCTGGAGTGGGAATTTCTGCACCGGCACCCTTGTCCTCAGTCCCAGTCTTCTCAGGGAGGCCTGTAGGCCTTTCCCTCTCACCACATCTGGCCTCAGAGCGAAGACAGCCCCCTGCACCCTCCTCTCGCTGTGGGGTGGCTGTTGCTCTGTGCTTCCTGACCCCAGACTCCCCAGTTCTTAGGGCAGCACCTCGCCTTGGGAGGTCAGTGGGAGGTCCAGTGGCTTCTTGCCCACTGGCCTCCCTTCTGGGCACTTGTAAGTCTGGGCCCCATCCTGGCACCTATTGGAAGTCCTCATGGCAAACCCACCCTGGGCCACCTGTTTTTGCAGGCATCTTGAGGTCAGGACCTGGCCTGTGCCAAACCCCGCAGGCAAGGGAGTGACCCTTGACTTACCAAGCTCGCAGCGCCTGCCTTTGAACCCTGGGCTGCAGTCACAGCTGTGGGCATCCATGCCTGGCACGCAGGTGCCTCCATTCTGACAGGGGTTTTCCGAACAGTTCCCAGGGCTGTCTGCAAACATGCCGCAAACGGTCAGCGGCCAGGCGTCCAGAGGAAGGCCTGCTGGCACTGCCCATTGCTGCTTCTGGAGGCCCATCGCTGGGCCCTAGGAGTGGTCCCATTTTAGGTGGGCAGAGAGCAGAGAGCAGACCAGGCCTGGCATGCCCTGCCCTGCCCCCACTACCTCGAGGCAGGAGGACCATTCTGGGGCCCCACTCAGAGCTGAGCTCCCGCGTGGACCCACAGCCTCAGCGGGCAACTTAGGTCTGCACGGCCTCCAGCTGCCTTCAGGAGAGCCTCCCAGCTCTGCCCTGGCGAGTGGCCCCCGTCCCCACCTCTGCAGACTGCCCTTAGGCAGGGTCTCTTCTGCCTGGAATGGGCTCCCCTCGAGAGCCCCCCTTGGAGGCCTCCTAGTCCTCTAAGCTAGCCCCAGGCCACCTCCCCTGCCCCAGCCCCAGTCCAGGTGGCCCTCACGGCAAGCCCGTCTCCCTACAGCATGCCCACCACACACCGGGGACCCGAGGGCAGGCTGCCAGGGGGGACAGGCCTGGCCTGCCCTGGAGGGACCACTTTTCAAAAACTGTTTAGCTTTGTCAAGCTGTTTTCATTTTTAACTTAAAAAAATCGGGAAACACCAATGAGTAAGAATTCTGCATACCCAGCACTTCCAATCTCAGAAGGCCAGCCTCCCGCTACAGATATTCCACATCCCCCCCGACCCCCGTCCAACGCCCCCGCCCGCCAGCCTGGGGCCAGTGGCCTTTCTGGGGAGCTGGCCAGGGAGACCTCGCATCCCCCCTTGCTCCCCTGCCGGGCCCCCCTGGTTCTGTCTGCGGCCGCTTCCCCTGTCCTGCTGGATCTACTTCACTTTCTCTCCTTTTCCTGCCACGCAGTCTGGGACTTCCCTTGTCCTTTGTCTTTAGCGATGTGCTGAAGGTGAGTTGTGGGCTCTGAAAGAACTTTTTATTATGAAAAGTTTCAAACCTACAAAATATGGAGTGTGAAGAACCTGTATACCGTCACTCAGCCTCAATGATTATTAATGTTTGCCAATCCTTTTTAATGTTTCCATCTGTCCATGTCCCAGAAAACATTTCACCTGTAAATACACCAGCAGGTATTTAATATGTAAAGAGTCTTAAAATGTTTACATAAGCACAATGCTACTATTACAAAATTAGTGGTACTTTCTTAATGTCATAAGAAATCATAGTCCATGTTCAAATTTCCCTGATCATCTTAGAAATGTCATTCATAGTTGGTCTCATCTAATCAGGATTCATAAGGGTACCACTGCCTTAGTTTGATTATCTTACATGTCCTTTAATCTATGACTTTTAATCACCTTCCCCTCTGTATTTATTGAAGAAACTAGGGCATCTGTCCCAGAGATTCCCCTCCTGCTGGATCTGACCCCTGCTTCCTTGTGCCATTAACTCCTTGCCCATCCCAGGTTTCCAATGGGGTTCAGTCTCAAATGGTCTCTGCAGGGCTGCTTCTAGGTGGCGGCTGTGCACCCTTCGGCCACTCCAGGGGCATGATATGTCGCTGTGTCCGGTCTCAGCGATGGGAGGATCGATCACTGGTTCAGTGCCGGCAGCCTGACTGATCCAGAATGAAGTCCCCTTAGGCTCTGCACCTGACGGCTTGAGCGGCCATGGAGGTGCCGGATCTGCGTCCCAGACCCATCGTCTCACTGGGGTCGTATCTGACCCGACCTGGCGCTCCTGTGCTGTCACTAGCGGGGAAGCCATCTATGAAGACCTGCTTCTCCTTGCCCACCACTTGGTCACCGTGCAAGTCCGACAGGCAAGGCTGGAAGGGCGACCCATTCTCCTTTATTTGTACACTTGCCCAGCAAGCTGTAAAGTTGAACGCTACGTTATTCTTCCTTTTTGGAGCATCAGTGTGAACTCATGGACTTAAATATATATGTTACAGCACATAAAAAATATATATGACAGACGGGTTTCCATCTTGCAGCGGTGAGTCTTCCCCGGCCAGAGGGAGCCGGTTCGGTCGGCTTGTGCGCACTTTAGACGCCATCCCAGTTGTTTTTGAAAGTTCGCAAGTATGTCCTGGGTTCATTTTATTCAGTCTGCTTCAGTCTTGGAATCAGCCCCTTCTCCAAAGACCCCCGTTCCTTCCAGTGGAGAATGGCAGCCAGAGCCCACGGTCTGGGCAGCTCTTACTACTACGGGGTGTCAGCGCTTCAGCCCTGTTCGGTAGACAGAACTGGGAAATTAGATTTAAAAACTAGATTACCAACTCATTATCAATATTTCCAGTTCAAATGAACAGAATTGAATAAAAAGAAAGACACGAATTTTATTTAATTTCTTTGATTTTATATCTCTTTATGCCGAAAATCTTGGTGATGTTAACATAATTATTTTCTTCATCCCACAATGTACATGTGACAGTTTTAAAATAGCAGTATCAGCATTACTGCTCACATTAAGGTCCCTGAATACAGCTTTAAATTTCTTGCAATTTAAAAACATTCTTAGACTGTATCCCCCTGGGAGTGTTTCAATGTCACGTGGAATGACGCCTCTTCCTGTGCGGCCACGACGCCAACATGACGGGCAGGTTTATTCATCCAGCTTGTTCTCAGTTCTCAGCTGCTTTTGTTTTTTTCTTTTGGTGCCACATTTTCTTGGTTCCAAAGTCAAAACTGCAAAGGCATACTGAAAGAAGTCAGCATCCATCTCTATTCCTTTTACTTCCTCGTTTAACTATTTTTGTTGGTTTTATTGCTTTTTAAATATAAGAAAATAGGTATATATGTCCACATTTCTTATTTTTTTATCACAGGCTGCCAGTGGCACTTTGTCCTTTCTTTTTTCCACTGCCAGTTGCCTCGGCTCCTCCAAGGTCTGAGTCGTGACCTGCAGGCCAGTCCCTTTAAAGTCAGTCCCGTCCAGTCCCCAGCTGTCACTGTCGGCCAGCCCGGCGCTCTTCCAGGGGCCTCTGATCTCCACTTGAATACGGACAGGCTTCAGAAATTCTCCACCTGTAATCTCTGGGATCCAATTTCTTCAAACTGTGAGTTAAATTCAAACCATATTCACTCCTAAGCTCCTGGGAATAGCACAGATCACTGGGGTGTGCAGAACCTGAGATCGAAGATCTCTGATAGGTCTTCCACACACAGATCTGACACACCATTTTGTAAGTAAAGGGAACCACGTATATCCTCTATGAGGTGTTTCCAACGAGGCAGGTCTACAGAAAAGGCCCCATTGTTTACACCTTTAAAACATTAATGCCACAGGATCAAGGCTACACAGGATAACAAGTATTAGAAAGTCATCTGATCAGAATTGTGTACAAGCAGTAAAACCTCCGTCCAAAAGAAATCTTCCCATTAATTAATCCCATGGATTTTTAAGCTGCTACTTAGCGAACATGGTACACACTGGTACAGAAAAACACGTAAAGTTCCAAGTATTTATTATCGATGAGCCAAACGAATGAAGATTTCACGTATGAAGTCTTGATTCTTTTTTCAGTCTCCAATACTACAATCTGTTTTGCTTATGAATTTTCAGATTACAGCTAAATTTTTACTTTAACTGAGTTTCTGCCTCAATTTAAGGTATAAAATATTTTCTTACTTGCTATCAATATAAAAGTACAGAAAAATATCAATGTGGCTATGTATGTTCTTACCACATTGGAGGAGAAAAAAACCGGGTGCTTTTAAATTAAACTTCACATCACTCAGACTTATGAAATCCTGTGTCCTATGCAGTCATTTCTAGCATTGCAATATTAAATCTTATACCTCATTTTACATTATGCACTAATTAATAGTGTTGTAAATGACCCAAGTGGGAATATCCAAGATTCTGTTTATTGCTGTAGCCTAACTTAATAGTTTTAGAACCCTTTCCCTGCAATAGTGGAGCTGGCCAATGTCACTGTAAAATGTGTCAATCCCAGGATTCGTTTTCTGAAGTCACGTGATAAACAGGGATTAAAAGTCTGCAAAAATGTCTAAATTATGACAATGTACTATACTTAATCTGACCTAAAAACTCACCTAAAGCTTAAGACATACCTTTAAGTCCAGACATTGTGTTCTCAAGTTAAAAGCCTAAAAAGAGAAGCCACCTTGAATGTCAACATTAGAACACTAAATTGTATAGCTGAGAGTTCCCTTATATCCTATTAGTTAATAAATTATTATCAGCACCAGCCTCCCACCACTTTAGTCTGTGTTAGGTATCATGCTCCTTCTTATGTGTATCAGAACTCACACTGAACAGTGACCTCTTGGTTGAAAAAGAGGATTTTTTCTGCACTTGTCTTTGTCCACAAACAAGTGCTAATATATATTCATGCTTATTTCCTACACAAAAGAGATGCCAAAACACTGTTCCACACATTACATTTTAAAAACAGCTTTATTCAGGTATAATTTATGTACCATACAATTCACCCATTCAAAGTGTATGGTTCACCGATTTTTAGCATATTCACACATATGTACATTTACCACAGTCAATTTTAGAGCATTTTTGTCATCTCAAAAAGAAACCCATTCCCTTTACCCCCACCCCCAGTCCTAAGCAACCACTTTATCTACTTTCTGTCACTATAGATTTCCCTATTTGGGACTTTCGTATGAATGGAATTACATCATACATGGTCTTTTGTGATTGGCTTTTCACTTAGTGCAGTATCTTCAAGGCCCATCTATGTCGTAGCCTGTGTCAGCACTTTATTCCTTTTTATGGTCAAATGTTCTGTTGTGTGAATAGACCACATTTTGTTATGAATTCATCAGTTGATGGACATTTGGGTTGTTTCCGACTTTGGGCTGTTATGACTAGTGCCGCTCTGGACGTTCTGCACAAGTCCTGGCGTGGCCACGTTCTTATCTCTCTTGGGGTCATACCTAGGGGCGGACTTGCTGGTCATATGGTGACTCTAAGTTCAATTCTTTGAGGAACTGCCAGGCATTTTTTCCCCAAGTGGTTGTACCACTCTATTCCCACCAGCAGTGTTTGAAGATTCCAAGTTCTCCACATCCTTACAATGCTTGTTGTTATTTGATGCGTCCTAGTGGGAAGTGGCATCTCACTGTGGCTGCTACTAGCATTTCTTTGATGACTAATGATGTCAAACATCTTTTCATGGGCTTGTTGGCCATTTGTGTATCTTCCTTGGAGAAATGTCTATTCAGATCATTTGCCCATTTCTTGATTGGATTATTTTTGTTCTTACTCAGTTGTAAGTGTTCTTTATATATTTCAGATACAAATCCCTTTTAGATAGATGATTTACAAATATTTTTTCTCATTCTATGGATTGTTTTTTCACTTCCTTGATGGTGTCCTTTGAAGCACAAAAAGTTTTTTAAATTTTGAGAAAGTCCAATTTATCTTTTTTTCTTTTATTTCTCATGCTTTTGGTTAATCTAAAACCTAAAAATCCTTTGCTAAATCAAATATCATGAATATTTACCATGTGTTTTCTTCTAAGAGTTTTATAGTTTTCATTCTTCCGTTAGCTCTCTGACCCACACGGAGTCAATTTTGTGTAGTGAGGCAGCCGTCCCACTTCATTCTTCTGCCTGTGGTGTTGTCCCAGCACCACTTGGTAAAGGCTCTTCCCCCCCTGAACAGTCTGGGCCCCCTTATCGGAATCAGTTGACCACAGACATAAGGGCTCATTTCTCGACTCTCGTTTCTATCCCATTGATTGGTGAGTCTGTGCTGGTGCCAGTGTCACACTGACTTTATTACCATTGCTTTGCCATAAGTTTTCACAATGGAGTGTGTGTGTGTCTTACTTTTTAAGGATTGTTTTTGCTGTCTGGGTCCCTTCTCTGTGAATTGGCAGCATGCAGGGGGTATTCAGAAACTGTGAAACCCTGTCAGCAATCTCAACCCTCTGTAATTGGGACACCAGGCTGCAGAGACTATTAGTGAAATTCATACCATTCCTGGGTGTCTAAGGCTCTAACCCTGCAACTCATGTAGCACTGGGGGGTTTTACCAAACCAGCACCTACTGTAGCCTCGTTCTACAAAGTTGTCTCCACTACATGCCAAATTTATCATCACACACACACACATTAAATGAAAACAGAGAAGGCACGGGGGATGGGATGTTGCTGCATGCTGGGGTGGGGGCAGTGGGCTGCCCCTCTGTGAGGACACATTAATGAGTACAGTTTTAAATTCTGTCCTTGCCTGCTGTTGTCTGAGGATGGTAACTGCCTGCCTCTTTCTGGGTGGCAGCCACCCAGACCACCTGTGTAGTTGTCCAGGGGATAAAACCAGGATAGTCCCAAAGCCCCGCTGGGGTGAGAAGCTGGAAAAACAGGAAGAATCTGACTAGCCTCAGCATTCACTCCCAACCCCTGCAGTGGCAGGTTTGATCATGAGCTGCTCCTGGGGACTCGAAGGTGCAGCCCTGACCTGGAGAATTGCTTGGTGAGGAAACGCCAATCAAACTCTGCTCTTGAGGTTTCTAGGGCTCTCTGGGGATCCTATTTTCCTTGGGGAATAAAAGTCTAACAGCTTCCTGAGAGAAGGAGCAGATCACCCTACAAGGAGACAAGAACAGTGACGAGTCATCACTCAGGGACAGCAGCACTGGACAGAAGGTGACAGGGGGCTCTGTGAAGGACTGAAGGGGGGAGGGACTTTGAACCTCAGATTTTATATCCAGCAAAACTGTCCTTCAAATAAGAGCCCACATGAGCATTTTCAGGCATACAGGGCCTCAGCAGCTCGGCCATGCGAAGCCCCTACTAGTGCTTTGTGGAACTTGACAAGGTGATCATAAACTTTTATAGAAATGCAAAGGACCAAGAACAGCAGACACTGAGGGCCAGAGTGAGAGGGTGGGCCCTGCGGGGTGGTGGGCTTTGCCAAAGATACTGCCGTCGATGTGTCGGCTTGAAGGCAGAGCACCGGACGGAGCAGCAAGTGTGTGGGGCCTTTGGCAGCGCTTGCGGAGAGGTGCTCAGTGCATCTGCACCCAGGGGCTGCGAACCCAGGTCCCAGGGTCCAGAAAGCCAGCAAGATAAGCTCTGGTGAGACTGGGTCAACCACACGTCTCGCTCCTCACTAGAGAGCCTCCTGGGCCTCCTGTGTTTAGGCAGCATACGCCAAGCATGTCTACTTTCGTGCACGTGCCAGGGGATGGGTGCAGCACTGACCCCAGCCAGACACCACCGAGATGCCCTCTGAGCACAGAGAGTTTGAGGCTGCACGGGGACGTGACCGCCAGGGTTGCAAGCTAACAAGTCGTGGCCGTGACCAGCCTCAGGACAGAACATGGGGCGAAACCCAAGTCTGGGAGGCAGCCCCAGCTCTCACATGACTGCCCAGGCACATGTGTTGGTGCTGAGGTCACTCCTCCCCACTGTTAACCCTCAACTGAGCAAAGGACTAAACATCCAGATTCAGGGGCTAGCTCATGGGCGTGGCAGCAAGACACAAGGCACTGTTTGTGTTCTAGCTCACGGGTTGGGTTCCAGACCTAATGCCATCATTTTAGCAAAAGCTACTTAACGAAATTAACTCAGAGGATGGGGCCGGCATGACTGGTGAGAGGTTTCAAGGGAACAGATTTGTGCATCTGAGGCCGTTAAAGAGTCTTTCCTGCCATCACCTAGAATCATCTCACGCCCTCCAGGGCTTGTGTCCCTCACATCAGCAGACACTGCAGACTGCCGTGGTGTACCCTTGAATCTCCCTGCAGCAGGGACCCTCACATTTCTGAATTTTATGAAATGAAACATCTACTATTTAGAAGCACTGGTAACGCAAACCATCTGACGAAAAGTTTATCTCACAAAACAATAGCACCATGGGTGTCTTCAGTCTGAGCTGTACCTTAACTAACCAAACATTGACTGCGTTTGCCTCAAAAACCAGGCCCCTCGGTGCTCACTGAGGCTGATGGCAACTTCAGGCCTCTCATGGTGAGAGGGAAGTGCTGACCTGTGGGGTGAGGGGAACGTGTCTATGAATGCACCCTTGGCGGGCACCTCTGATGTGTGCGTGTGGCCGTGTGACTGGGGGCAGGCCTGCAGGTGACTCGCCCTCAGAGGCGGCATCCTGAGCTCTCAGCTCACCCTTTCCAAGTACCCACCCCCTCCTGGGGTCTGGTTGATGGGCAGGCCCGGTCTGAGCCTGTGACTTGGGAGAAAGGGCCACTGGGTCCTAGAAGAACTAACTCCCTCAGAGGACAGGGCCCTAAGGGTTAGAACAAGGGGGCGGGGGAGAGCACGGGTCTGGGTTTGTGAAAGGCACCTGGGCCTCTTGGCACCATCCAGAAGGGAAAAACCCACAAACATGCCCTGCTGGGGGCACACTTGCTGCGATCCTCAGCAGATGCACCATCCAGCCCCTGGCTAAGGTGAGTGTCAGCAGGGCCACTGGCTCTGGCTACGCCTGGGCGGTGGTGGGAGCACAGCCTGCTCCCTTGCTGAGAGGTAGGGAGGGCTCTGCTGTATGCTGGGGGCGGTTCTCCAGGCAGTCTTGGGTGGTGTGGGTGGGTGCTGGCCCCAGGCCCACTCAGGGTCTGTAAGAGGACAGGGAGCCTCTGCCCAGTGAGGCCCAGCCCTCTTTCCAGGAGGTGCCTGGCTGCCCTGTGGGCAGGCACTGGGCCTCACACTCCCTCACTGCGGGTGGCCCCCGCCAGGCCTGCAGCCATCGAGGCTCCCAGAGGCGGGCAGCCCTGCACGTCTTCTGCCCACTTACTTTCCATGTGCTCGTTGCGGCCGTGCTCGGGGAGCTGGGGGGCCTGGCTGGCCTGCTCGGGGGCCGGCTCCACATTCGCGAGCTGCACCGGAGCCGTGGGTTCTAGGAGAAACCAGAACGCAGCTCGCTGGCCTCCATGCGCTGCCCTGTGCTTTCTTGGGCTGCTCCTCTCCCCTGGGGGTGGGGCCAGACCTGGTGGGGGCCCTGTGCTGCCTCCAGCAGGGCCCAGCCCTCCCCATCCTGCTCGCCCTCAGCAGGAGGCCCCAAATTCCACCGCCATCCCCCGTGCCCCCCAGAGCTGCGCAGCAGAGGTCATCAGTGGCCGAGGCAGGCCAGATCTCCGGTGTGACCCAGCAGCCTTGTCCTTTTAGAAGCTGCTGACGCTGCTGCTCTTTTCGGCCAGATGCTGCTCTCCTCTCCCTGCACCTGCTTCCTGCGGGCCACGACACCGCCTGCTCTCCTCGCGTCCACCCCAGGCCGCATGTGCGTGGCCTTCCAGCTGCAAGGCTGCCTCTCTGGTGTCCTGGCCTGCACTCTTGGGCATTATACATCTGCCCCCTTGGCTTTAGGAGGCCGTTGGCATCTGGCTGGCTCCTCGCCTAGCTCCCTAGGCACTGCTTGCACCCCTCTCCCGAGTCACCATGTGCAGTGACCCCCTTCTGCTGCCCCTCTGCTGGGCGCCAAGGGCTGCAGATGCCCTATCTGCTCCTCTTCACTGTCTGGGTGCCCACGCTTCTCCTCCCTTGCCTAGAAACGTTTGTGTGGGCTAAAAATTCTCATTAAACTGGAGATTAGGCTCCGTGCCAGAGCCTTCTGTGAGGATGGGACCTGGCCTACAGGGGAGGGAATGGCCCTGGAAGCCCTGTCCAGTCTCAAGGTCCTCCGGGATAGGGGCAGCCAGCGGGCGTGTGGCTGCTGTGTCAGAATCTTGGCACAGGCCTGCTGCACGCAGATTAACCAGGTGAGAAGAAGCCAGGGCAATCCAGCTGTTCACTTGTGCCTGTGGTGCTGGGGCCAGGTGGAGAGGCCCAGTGGGTGCCATAGGTGGCTCTTGGATGGGGCATTGGCTCACCCTGAGGAGCAAGGGGTCAGGCAGTGTCCCGGGCAGAGCCCCCACGTCCAGCCTGCTGCTGCCGCATCACTGTCGTCTCCCCTGTGCGTGCCAGCTGGCGGCCTGGGCCTTGGCCCGCTGGCGGGCCTGGGAGGGCTCCTCGAGCCTGCAGTGTGCCACCCTGAGCCAAGAGCCCTGCACGGAGCCAGCAAGCCTGGCTGAAGAAGCTGGCACTGGGGGTGGCCTTTAAGCCCAGATTTGGGGCCTCATTCCTCATATGCTGGGGACAAAGGTCAGGTGAGGGGGCAGCCGGGCACTCACGTGGTCTCACGGTGATGCCGGGCAAGCTGTGGACCTTGGTGCTCACCCGCCCTCTGCCATCCACAAGCTCTGAGAACCTGTCGGGGGTCACAGCGGTCACACTGCAGGTTCTGCATGCAGGGCAGTGCGCGGGTGTGCCCAGCATCCAGTGTGCCCTGCAGGGGGCTGACAGCTGCGGCGTGTACCTGGGGACTGAGGTCAGCATGTCGGGGGGGTCTTGGCTGCTGAGCAGGCGCAGCTCTGGCAGGCGTGCGGGGGTCAGTCTGTTTCTGAGCACCCGAGGGTGGAGTCCTTCCCGGTGCCAGCGTCTGTCAGCGCCGTCCCTTGAGGCTGCGGGCAGGTGAGATGAGGGGGTGGCCCCACAAGGGTGGTCTGAGGCTTCCCTTAACCCCACCCGCCCGCTGCTCAGGGGTAAGAACTGAAGGAGGACGTGGGCGCCACGTGATGACGTGGCAGGTTTATAGCCCTGCCGCTTCCCTTCTGAATAGCCCCACATGTGCTGTGCCCCTAGCCCACCCTGGGCCCAGGTCCTCCACCTGCAGGCAGGGTGACACCTCACGGAGGCCCCCACCCACCCACACCTGGCTTCTCTGTGGGTCTCTGTCACCTAATGGCACCCTTCAGCCACCAGGCTGGGCACTGACCTTCACCTGCCAGCCACTCCTCCCTGAACCAGCTCATGGAGGAGCCCGACCTGCCTGTGCCCCAGGGAGGTGTGCCTGGAGCTGTGCCATGTTTGGACCTCTTGGAGCTAGTGTCCTTCAAGCCCAGAGCAGGCTGGGGGTTGGGAGAGAGCCCCTCCCTCCCGCATGTCTCCTGGCTCATGGTCCTCTCCCTGCAGCGCTGCCCAGATGCACCATCTGCCCACATCACCTTGTGTGAGCTTCAAAGGTGAGCAGGCTTGTGCCGGGCCCTGGGGGACCTGGCGGGCTTCCTGGGCACTGAGGGGCAGACCTGCATCTTGCTGTGTCAGCTGGGCCTCTACGCGCCCACCCCCTGTCCACCCACTCTGGCTTCCTCCCAGGCTATCCCTTCCTGTGGCCTGGCTGCAGTTCGGTGGCTTCCCAGGGGTCAGGCCTGGCAGCGAGGCCCTCCTCCCTACTGCCCACCTCCCTGGGGTCCTGCCACAACCTGCCCTAGCACCCGTTTTCAGGGTGTGCCCTGTATTCCTGCTCAGCCCATTGGGTTCATGGACAGCACAAGGTGAGGAGCCCTAGGCTTGTTACCGAAATTGCTGGCACACTGACCCAGGGCCAACTGTCCACCAGCCCTTCCTACCCCCCGATTTTCAACACGGAACTCCATGTCAACATGCCCTATTTCTAGGCTATCTGATGTTCCGTGGGCAGTGTGGCCCATGCCAGGTGACAGTCCTGGGCTGAGCCCTCCTTTTGATAGGAAGGAAGGCCCAGCCGCTGCCCTGCTGGTGGCTGGCAGTGGGCACGAGGCACTAGGCTGTCTGCCCAGCCGGCGTGCATGCCATCAGGTGCCCTGGCCCCCAGTGGCGCCATACTTACAGGTGATGATGTAGATGTGGGCAGGCTCACTGTGCAGCTGCTCACCCTCGGCGCTCTGCACGGCCGTCACGGAAAGCTGGTACCGCCGCCCGGGCATCAGGTCCCGCACTGTGTAGGAGCTCAGCTTCCCATTGGGGATGTAGCGGCTCTTGGTGGTCTGGCTGGTGGTCACATTGATGACATAGGCCTCCAGCAAGGTGCCCGGAGTGGGGGCATCCCAGACTACATGGGCAGAGGTGGCTGTGACCCGGGCAGCGGTCAGGTTTGCGGGAGCCAGGGGCCCTGCGAGCATGGAGTGGGGAGGAGGTGAAGGGGGCCAGCGGGGTCTTCTGCCAGGACACAGTTTAAAGATCTGATACACTGAGTTGGGATAGATGCCTTTGTCATTCTGAGGGATGGAGTGGGGGCGTTGGCAGCTGCTCTGTGTCTACTACAGGGCCTCTTCCTGCCCTGGGAGTTCCCCCGGAATGCCGCCTGCCAGCTCCCAGCAAGGCCCCCTCACCCGCACAGTCTGTCGGTGTGCCTTCCCTGTGGCACTTTTGAGCCCCCTGAGACTGGCCACACACACCTTCCCCTGGAACACAGATAAGGGGAGTGGGCTAGACAGGTGGGGGACGGGCCAGGGTTCTAGGGCTCAGAGCCAGGGCCAGGACTTGGGACTGTGCTGGCTCTGTGTGCCATGGGCTATCCATATGCCCCGCCCCAGGTGAGTGGGGTCCAAGTTGCCAAGAATGGGCAGTCCTAGAGCCTGGTGGGGAGGGATCATCGTCCCCATTGGGTTAGACCTTCCCTCCTCATTCATCCCACCACTGGCCCCAAAGCACGGACAGCACGGTGCTTTCGCCCCACCCACGTGCTGGGGAGAGACAGGTGGTGAGGGCCAGTCCTCCTCCCATGAGACCATGGAGCTTGGCAGAGTGGACAGGGTAAGCATCTCTGCCCACGAGCCCCTGTGCCTCTTTGTTCAGTGATCCCCGCCTAGTAGAAGCCCGGGAGCTCCGGGTGCTAGGCCAGCACCCATGCAGGGGGCCGCCTTGGAAGGTCGCCCCCGGTGCCCAAGGGGGGAAGGTCTCCAGGCATGTCACTGTTCGGGGCATGCTCAGTCAGGGGCTGCACTTCTGGCACCGCGGCCACTTTGGAGAGGACCGAGGAGGCCGGAGAGCTTCCAGAAGGCTCCAAGTGAGCCTAGCCCGCATCGCCCTACGTACGAGTCCACACGTGCAGCGGTGCTGAGGCCAGGCTCTCGGTGGGATGCTCCTGTCCTCCGAGCCCACTGAGGGCAGTCGCCTGGATGGTGTATCTCCTTCCTGGCAGCAGAGCCCTGCGGGGAGGGGAGGCCAGGGAGAGAGGGACAGGACTGTCTTGGGGTCCTTCGCATCAGGCCTGCTGTCCCCAGCAGGTACGACCAGGGACGTGGCTGTCCGGGCCCTGGCAGTCCAGGCAGCCTCTGCGAGGGGGGGACTGGCGGCCTGAGATTCGTGTGCTCCTCAGGCAGGAAGCTCATCCCAGGCCTGTGTGCCTGGCACAGTGAGAGGGCTGAGCAGGGGCCAGGCCTGCCGGGGTGCCCAGGCATGGTGGCCAGAAGGCTGGGGTTGGCAGGAGAGGCCAGGAAGGGCAATTGAAGGTCCACGGCACCCAGGGCAAGGCCTTCTGAAAGGTGGCATCTGTCGCTGCAGCTCCCGCACAGAGGTGCAAAGCGTGGGGGAGACGGGCCCCCGTGTCTTCCGGGGCATCTGGACTCTCCCCAGGCAGAGGGTGCCCCGCAACCGGCCCCAGAACACCCTGGGCCTGCATCTCTGACGGGCTGCTTGGGGAGGTGGCACCCACATGTGGGGGTACGAGGCGAGTCCTGTGCGACCCCACGGGAGGGTCTCTGGAAGCTCACGCCCAGTCCCCTGACTTCTCCCCAAGACCTTTCCCTTTGTGGGGCTTTGTGCCATTTCTGCCCAGTCCCAGTGAGTCCTGGGGTGGTCCTGGGACCCCAATGCTGTCACCAAGTGCTCACCTGGGGCCCCCTTTGTGTTTCTGTCATGCCATCTGGCAGCGGGCAGGATGTAAATCAAGAAAAGTCACAGGAACACTTAGAGGACAAAGCGCCGTGGGCTCCAGCATGGCACAGTTGGGAAAGTCTGCAGACTAGACCCATGTAGCAGCGTGTGCAGCTCACAGGGGGCAGAGGCAGACAGAACACTGCCTGGCCCAGCCACCCAAGGCTGCCCTGGGCGCCCGCCTTCCAGACGCCCATCCCGGGACCACAGCTTGGGGCTGCTCTGGACTGGACGCTGCTGAGCCCTTCCCACCAAGCCCGTCTGGACCTCAGGTGTCAGCGGCACAAGCGCTTTGGTGGGAACTGCTCGAGGGAGCGGGGTTTACTCTATAGGTTTTGTGGCTGGTGAACAACCCTCAGGGGTCCATCATGGACGGAGCCTGGGAGGGTTCAGTGGGTCAGGAGCGGCCCGAGGTAGGGGGTTGTTCAAGTGTTTATTTCAGTCATCAGCTATTTTGAATGACTGATGTTCATTGGAATTTCACTTATTTTATAGTTTTGTTTGTATTTGATTTGTAATAATTAAGCTTAAGGAGTTTATATGCCTGGTTTAAAGTTTGAACATATTACTTGAACAAAATAAAAATTTCAGGCACCCCTAGGGGTGTCCCGTTTTTTCTCTTTCAGAGGGGTCTTCATGACTCAGGTTGGAAGAACTCTGGGCCAGTCTTCTGGGGGTCTGTCTCCATCTGCACAGGACGCAGCTTTCCCAGACTTTTAGGGGGTCCCTGCTCTCTCGTGGCACTTTTGAACACTTGTGACGAGGAAAGGCAGAGAGACCCAGGACTGAGAGTGGCTCCACTGGGGGATCAGCAGGTGCCCTGCTTCTCCAGGTGGGCCGGGCAAGCGGGGGTGGCAGGGGAGGGGCACAGAGGGAGGGAGGGAGGCAGGGAGGAAAAAGCCTGGAGGGAGGGAAGGCAGGGCTGACCCACGCTCTCACCCAAACGTGAACTTGTCCACGGCCTTGTCCACATCAGTAGACTGGCCCTCTTGGGCCTCGGGGCCCCGGAGCAGCATGCGGATGCCACTGACAGTGGCGTGACGGATCCTGTGCAGAGCCCACCGCACAGAGATGGTGCTGGCTGTCACATCGGCGACCTCAAGGCCCTCGACAGGGCGGGGTCCTGGGGGGCAAAAGGCTGCTCAGCTGATGCCACCTCCTTATGCCCAGGGGAGGCTGGGGGCTTGAGACGATGAGATAAGGCTCAGGAAGGGTGCTGGGGGTCACGGACAGGGGACCTGAGCCAGGCACGGCCAGCCTGGGCTTGTGGAGCGCACGCCTCGGCCACAGCAGGCCTCAGACGGTCGAATTGGCCCCAGGCTCCTGCTTGCGTTGGGGGCCACCTCAAAGGGGCCCCTGTGGGCACCGCTCTAGGCCATCAGCTCCACCCCAGGGCCGGTGTAGGTATTGGCCATTTGGACATGCCAGCAGAGGGCAGGGCCCTTCCTGAAGCGCGCCGACCCTGGGTCTCCCTTTTCCTGTCTCTGGCTGTTTTGATGGCTTTGACAGTGACCGTCTGAGCAGTCAGGGCGATGCTGGGGACTGGCAGGGATGAACCCAGAGGTTCCTGGGCAACCACCGGAAGGGGCCAGAGGGGCTGGCCCCCAGTCCAAGGGGCAGAGGGGAGCCCCCAGCTCCCAGTCACACAGCTCCCCTGCTGCCCACCCTGGTCTCCTGGTGGAGACCCCCCTCCGGCAGAGCAGGGAGCACCCCCCCACCTCATCCTGCTTGCTCTGCCAGGCGGGCGAGGGCTCCTGTAGCCCCGCTCTCCAAGCCACCCCGCTGGCCCAGGAGCACCCTTGGGGCCCCTCGGCTGTCCTTCCCAGCCTGCCAGCGGTGAGCCCCTTCCGCACCCCTCACTGGGCCTCCACGTCCTCAGCGTCAGCGTCTGACCAGGCGGGACGCCTTCCCTCCTCCTCCCACCGATACCCTCTCCGCATCTCCCCTGTGGGCACCCTGACCCCGCTTTGGGCTCTCCACGCTGCCCACTGGGCGCCACTCACCAGCCCTGGCCTCCAGCGCCCCTTCCCCGGCCCCCGCCCGGCCCCCTGCCTGCAGAGGACGCCCCCAGCGAGGCGCCCAGGCCTCCCGGGCCTGACCCGCAGCTTCCTACTCCCCGGGCCGCGTCCTGGAGGCGTCCCCACCCCACTCCAAGGCTGCCACCTCCCGCTTGGCGCGTCGTGGGGCGCGCCTGGCCGGCTCCCCGCGGCCCCAAGCGCCCTGCCCTTCTGCGCTCCCACCCGCGTCTCAGCCCCGCGCCCGCTTCTGGGCGCCCCCGGGAGGCGGCCGCGGGTGGGCGAGCGCGCCGGGACCCACGTGTGCGCGCGAGCAGCACGGCCGGCCTGCTGATGTCGTTCTTGTTGCCCGCGTTGCGCCGGACCGAGAAGACGGAGATGGTGTAGGGCCTGCCGGCCGCCAGCGCCCGAAGCCGGTGCGAGGAGCGGCCCCTCTCCACGAAGTCGGTGCGGCGGTAGGAGCCGTCGGGGGATGCGTAGGTGACCGCGTAGCCGTCCAGCACCTGCCTGCTGGCCTGGCCCTCGGGCGGGCGCCAGGAAATGGAGACCCCGCTCTCTTCCACTCGCTCCACCTTGAGGGCCGTTGGTGGGAAGAGCTCTTCAGGGTTTCGGTCGAGAACAAGGGAAGGGGGTGGTCAGCAGTGGGCCGTGGAAGCCCGGGCCGCCAGGCGTCCCACCCGGCCGGCGCCGGGGCCTGGCCACCCCAGGGCAGAGGTGGGCACCGCTGGCCGGGAGCCGGCCTAGGGTGCCCGCAGGGCCTCCTGCATTTGGTCCCTGGCTCGCGCCTCCTGGAGGGTCACGTATGTGCGCACACGTGATTGCATTGACGCCCCCCTCTGCTGCTCAGGCAGAGCCAGGGTAAGTAGGCACCTGCCGCCCTCCGGGGTGTCTGCGCCCTCCGGTGGGCAGGGCAGGGCAGCCCGCCCCCAGCACAGGCGCCACTGCCGCCTCACCTTTGGCGCAGTCCTTGCCCGTGTAGCCCACTTTGCAGGTGCAGCTGTGGGACCCATTGCTGGCCAGGCAGTAGCCACGGCCCCCACAGGGGCTGGAGAAGCAGGGGTCACTCACTGCGGGAGGGAAAGGCAGCAGTGAGCTCCCGGGCATCGCCAGGCCCCACCTCCAGCCGTGCCTGCTCCTGGGAACAGGGGCCCTTCCTGCAACTGCGTTTCTGGGGTGGAGGAGGGTGGTACCATGGGCAGTGCTTTGGGGAGGTGGAGGGGACACTGGGTTGGGGAGGGCAGCGCCTGCCAGAGGCCCCACTGGGAGGCTGGGCAGGTGTGGCCTTCTGCCACTGAGCCAGGCCATCCTGCCCACCACCAGCCAAGGTGCCCGGGCAGGCCTTGAGTTGGGGCAGCGCACGCCTGCCGCTGGCCCTCCTGGGGGCAGCTGGCAGCCAAGAGGCCGGGCCCAGCCGCGGCCTCTCTGCCCTGGGGCTGGTGTGAGCTGAGCTCCCTGGGCCCGGGCCAAGGTTCCCGGCGCAGCCGCAGGAAAGCACAGACGGCGAGCCCCCACCACTGTCCAGCTGCTGCTCTCCTGCCCCTGCTTTGCCCTCGCCCACCCCAGGCCTGTGCAGTGAGACTCTCTGGCCACACACAGTCCCCACCATGCTTGTCCTCAGGCGGGTCTCCTGGTCCCAGGCCTTGTCCCTAGCCCGGCTGTCACTGCCCGGCAGCCCTGTCTGCCCTGCACAGCTCGGTCCACCAGCCAGGCCCAGCTTGGCGCTAGGGACACGCACAAAGCCAGACCACTCCCCACCAAGACGTGCCGGCTCCAGGAGGGGAGACTGTGAGCACACTGGGGAAGTGATGACAGTCCTGGGTGGTAAGTGCCACGGAGGAGGAAAATGGTGCTGGGATGGAGACACATTTCAGACCAGTGTCAGGAAGGCCACCTCGGGGAGGGGCACTTCAGCCGGGACCTGGCCCTTGAGGGGCACCGCACTGGGCTGATTGGGGAGAGTGTTCCAGGGGGAAGGAGGCGAGTGCCAGGACGTGGGGGCCATCACAAGCCTGGCTCCGCAGGGCCAGGGGCCTGGTGGACGTTGGGCCAGATGAGTCTCTTTGGTGTGAGGTGGGACTGTGGGGAGGAAGGTGCAGGTGCAGGAGGTGGGGAGCTTCGAAGCTGTGCTGGGGTTCCCAGCAGGGGCAGAGGAAGGCCGCCAGCAGGGGGCCTGAGGTGGGGCCTGAGGTGGGGTCTCTGGAGGAGCAGGGTGCCTGCACCTCTACCTGTCTCACAGTGGTAGCCGAAGAAGCCCTCTGGGCAGACGCACAGGTAGGCCCCGCCGCCATTCTCACACCGGCCTCCGTGCTGGCAGGGGCTGGAGTCGCAGGCGTCCACCTCTGGAGAACACCCAGAGAGGGGGCCTGAGCCGCAGGGGGGCGTCTGGGGGAGGGAGGAGAGAGGCCAGGCAGGGGGTGGCGAGAGGGGGCCGAGGGGATGTCTGGGGGTGGGTGGGAGGGGCTCAGGGAATGTCCCTCAGCCTTGGCAGGCGCCCAGCCCTCCTCTCCCTGGGGCCCCTGCCCCTGGGCGGCCTGCCTGGTAGGGCCTTGGGTCCATCCCCTTCCCTCTGCCAAGAGGCCCAGCATCTGCGCCTGCTGAGAACAGGTTTGCGGGGCCTGCCTGGGGCCTCGGGGGTGAGGATGAGGGCCCAGTGCTCAGGGGCCCCCCGAGCCAGCCCTACCTGTCTCGCAGTGCTCCCCAGCGAAGCCCGCCGGACACTGGCAGACAAAGGCCCCCGGGAGGGGCCTGCAGGAGCCTCCGTTCCTGCAGGGATGCCCTCGGCACTCGTCTGTCTCTGCAGAGACAGGACAGGAGCCTTCACTGCCCCACGTGGCTCTACGTGACCCTCCGTGGGCTGCACAGCCCCAGGATCGGGTGTGTCCTGAGGTTTCAGCCCCATACCTGCCCCTCCACTGTCCATCTGACAAAGCCCCACTCCCAGCCACGCCTGCACTCTGCTGCCCGGGCCTCCCAGAGGCCCAGACAGGACACCCTGGCTGGCCCTCTCTGGGCCGGTGTCTCTGTCTCACAGGTGCAAGGGGGCCAGAGCTTGTCCAGCAGTGCACCCAGCAGGCCTTCCCTCCTTGCCGCTTGGCTTGGAGCACTGGACCAGGAGTCGGGACCTGACCCACCTTCTCTGCTCCTGAGGCCAGAGGCTGGGGGTCAGTGTCTCTCAGCTGACCCCAGCCTCCTAGGGACATGTACAAATGCCGTCCTTCTGGACGTCAGAGCTGGCCGGGGCCCGAAAGAGCAGGCTGCACCTGACCAGACAGCCCAGGGAGGAGGGTGGCTGGAGCCAGGGGGGCATGGCCAGTGCCTGGTCCCCAGTGCCACCCTGCAGTGTGGGCTGCGACTGTCTTACCCAGCTCACACTGGGCTCCCTCGCGCCCTGCGCGGCAGACACACAGGTACCCGGCGACACGGTCCTGGCAGGAGCCCCCATGCAGGCATGGCTGGGACCGGCACTCATCCACTTCTGGGGGCGGGGAGCCCGCGTGCATGTGCAGGAGAGACACAGAGAATAAAGCGTGTGGTCATCATTAGAGGCAATGACTTGACACCAGATGGAGCTGGACAGGAATTAGCTCTGTTCTGAGGAACTGGGCAGAGTTCTAGGACTTCCCTTGGTGCTTGGAGAGGCCAGAAACGAGGGCGGGACGCCCAGGAGGGGAAGGGGCTGGTGCTGGAACCAGGGCCTCAGTGCTAGGCTCGAGTCTGTGAGGCGACCGGGATGCTCCTAGTGGGTGGCCGTGAGGACCCTCAGGCGGCACTGCAGGGTGAGCGCAAAGGCCCCGGGACAGGCTCTGTCTTACCAGTCCTACATATAACAGCAGCGCATGCAGTCAGTACATCTGGGGCCAAGTCCTGCATTTTAAATTATCCACAGAAGGTTTAAAAATAAAAACTGGGAATTGTACTCCTGAATTTAGAATGCTCAATTTAGAAGGTATTAATTTTAATGCTTAAAATGTAAATATGTAAATAAATGGTAATGACATGATGACACCTGGGGCCGACCCCAGCTCCTCCGGTCGCATGCTCCTGCTCATCCCTTGTGATGAGGCTTCTGTGGTATCTTCTATTTTTAAATTTTTATGAATTGCCCGATTATGTGACTTTTTTGCTATTTATGAACTTTGTTAATAGGATATTGATCTGTGTGCTCTCCTCTCAAAATTGAATCAGTAAGACATGTCGGGTTCGCTTCCGTGTGATACTCCACGGCGTGATCACGCAGGACTTTATCCATTTGTGTCTGGTGGGCATTTGGGTCGGTTCTGGACTTCTTGCAATACCAAAAAGAAAAAATGCTTCTGCGTGTTTTCTTTCACATCTCCTTGTGTAGGTGTGCACATTTTAGATTTATACCCAGAAGTGGAATTGCTGGGACACAGTTTCATGAGTGGTCAACTTGACAGGTTAAGCTGCCAAATCCTTTTTCAAAGTGCTTACCAGTTCACACTCCGTCCAGCAGTTTACAGGAAGTCCTGCTGATTCACAGCCTCACCAATATGTGGGGTCTGAAGTCTTGCCGAAGTCTTGCCAACGGAATGTGTCTCTCTCTGCTTTTGACTCGCACTTTGCTGATCACTACTGTTTCTTTGTTTTCTTCATTTCCTCTCCTGTGAAAGGCCTACTCACACATTTTGCCAATTTTCCTACTGGGTTGATCATTCACTTATTGATTCAGGGCTCTTCATATATTCGTGAAAGTAGTCATATATAACTATATATATCTTCTCCCAGTTTGTAGCTTTTATTTCACTTTCTTCTTTAGGGCTGATGAATTTAAGTTCCTAATTTTTATATAGTCAGATTTGTTTACTTTTAGAATTTATAGTTAGTGCTTTTTAGTGGCTTAAGGAATCTTTCCTTGCCCCATGGCCAAAAATGCATATACCTATATTTTCCATTCAGAATTATATAGTTTAAGAAAAAACATTTAAGTTGCTAATTGATCTGGAATTTCTCCAAGTGCATAACCATTTTATTCCAGCTGTCATGAAGATCTTGTCTTGCACTTTTAGAAATTTATAGTTTTAGCTTTTATTCATGTCTGTAGCTCATTTCACATATACAAAAACATGTTTTTCACAGAGAAGACAAGTAGTGATTCTACAGCATCTTACAACGCTGATGAATAGTGACTGTAATGGGGTGGGGAAGGACTTGATAATGGGGGGAGTCTAGTAACTCTAATATTGCTCATGTAATTAATTGTACATTAATAATAGCAAAAAAAACTTATGTTTTTGATGCTATTGTATATAATATTGTTTCATTTTATTTCCTGAGTGTTTGCTGCTAGAATATGTTTGTTTCTATATATTGGCCCGCGTCCGGTGGCTTGACTTAGCTCACTCATTAGTTTTATAGCTTCTTTTATAAATCTCTTTTAAGAGTTTCTGTGCATGATTGTGTCACCCGTAGTTCTTCCTTTCTCGAAGATATGACTTTTATTCTCTTTCTTACTTACGGCACTGTGCAAGGCCTCCGGGATAAGGCTGGAAGGAATGGTGAAATGGGGGACACCCTTGTCTTATCACTGATTACAGGAGGAAGTCTTTCACCATTAAGTATTTTGCTTTTTTCATGGATGCCCTTTATCACATTGAAGAAATTCCCTTCTACTCCTAGTTTGTTAAGAGTTTTAAGTAATAGTTCAATATTGTCAAGTGATTTCTCTGTGTCTGTTGACATGATCATATGTTTTTCTCTTTCATCTCCTAATGTGGTGAATTTGATCATTGTTTTTCAAATGCTAACCTGTCTGTGTTCCTGAAATACACCTCACTTGGCCATGAGGTGTTATCCTTCTTAGGCAGTACTGCCTTCGACTCAGGAATATATTGTTAGGGTTTTTGTGTCTATGTTCATGAGAAATATTAGTCTGTGATTTCATTTTCTGTAATGTCTCTGTTGGGTTTTGGTTATCAAGGCAACACTGGTGTCATAAATGATTTGAGAAGTGCTCCTTCCTCCTATATTTGCTAAAAAAAATTATATAGGATTAGTATTACTCCTTGTAAATGTTTGATAGAATTCACCAGTGAAGCAATCTAGTCCTGCCATTTTCTTTGCAGAAAGATTTCAAATTATAAATTAAGTTTCTCTAATAAATGTAGGGTTATTAATATTTTCTATTATTCCTGTGTCAGTTCTGGTAAGTAGTGCCTTTCAGGTATTATCCTTTTTCTTTAAGTTGTCAGAAATATTGGCCCACAGTTGTTTACAATATCCCTTGTTTTCCTCTAAATGATGACAGGATCCTCTGAAGGAGGAGCTCCTCTTTCATTCTGATATTGCTCATTTTTCTTTTTTTCTGGATCACTCTAGCTAGAGGTTTATCAATTTTATTGGTCTTTTAAAGGAAACAAATTCTGGTTTCATTGATTTTTCTCTGTATATGTCTTTTTTGTAATTACATTTTCTAATTGTTGACACATAAAAATACTATTGATTTTGTTATAATAACCCATATTCACTACATATGCTACATTTCCTGTAATTTTCAGTAGTTTTCCTGTAAAAACAACCATATCAGCCTGCAAATACTGACCTTTTTACTCTATTCTTTAGTATTTTCATCAATTTCTTTTTCTTACTTAGTTACATTGGCCAGTACTTCCAATATAATATTGATTATGTTAGTGATAATGGGCATCTTGTTCCCAATTTTAAGGGGAATGTTTCTCTATTTAGGATGTTTATTCTAGGTTTGAGGAAGGGCATAGTAAAATTCCTTAAAACTAATTTCCTTTCCCCAAGCTCAGCATGTCTTAGTTAAACAGAAGCACAGCTTTTGAATTCCAGATCCTCCTCCTGTATAACAAAGATCAGGAGACTTACTGTCCCACAGCTCTCTTGATGTGACCTCTACTCCTTCCTCTATGAATATGTGGAGTGTTAACTGTGTTTTACATGGTGCGGCCAGTCTAGCTGTGCTTGCGTAAGCACACCTCTCTGTGGGATGATGAACACTTACGGGGTCGTGTGGGCTCTGCTACTTCTCTCTTATAAGTTTTCTCCCCAATAAATCTTATATTATTTTATACCAAATGATACTACAGGTGTGTGTGCACACGTATGTGCGTGTATGATGTTATTTTAATCTGGATAAGGAAGTACTTTTTTATTCCCTATTTGGTAAGAACTTCTCTTATGAAAGGGTATGAATTTTCTGAATTGCTTATTATGCATTCATTGAGATTCTTCTATGATTTTTCTCCTTCAATTGGTTAAATGTAGCAGATTTTTCTAATACCAAACTATTCTTGCAACAACCCAACTTGATAAGAGCATACATAGTCTTTACAGACTGTCAAATTTCTGCATCTATGTCCATGTGTAATGAACCTGTAATTTTACTTTCTCCAACTGTCTGTATGTGGTGTTGGTGTCAAGGTTATACTGGCCTCATAGAATGGGCTGGCACATGTTCTTTTACCTTCTGATCTCCGAAGAGCCTGTAAAATGCTGCAATGATGTGTTTCTTGGCAGTTTGGTAGAATTTACTTATTGTTCAGGCCTGGTATTTCTTTGTGGGGAAAAACTGATTTGATTTCATTAAATAGTCATAGGATTATGTACGCATGCTCTATTTCCTTGGGTAATTTTTGGTAATGGGACAGGGAGGCAGCAGGGCGTAACTCCTGCCCAGTTAGAGTAGGTGTGGGCCCTGGAAAGGGACAAAGTCTTAAGAAGCAGGGTGCTTGAAAGTGAAACAGTGTAACAATTTATTCCCCCTCGGGACCCAGTGGTATGGAACAGCTGTCGCTCATAGTGGCGTAGGCCCGTTAGCTTACAGCAGAGTATCCGGGAAACCCTCACAGACATAAGTTAACATACAACTAGCATTCTGGCTGAGTCTGTAGAAAACTCCCGCTGCAACGGGCATAAGACCCTAGACACCCAGACCCCAGCGGCAGCCTTGCCCCTCCCTGCCCCTGCGGGGAGCTCCACACTTTCTCTTACCCTGAATAAAGCTCTCTCTCTGTCTGAATAAAAACTATAAATCTCCTGCCTTGTGTGTTCACGGAGTTCATTCTTCGACTCCGCAAACAAGAACCCCGGCATCAGTAAGTTATATTTTTCTATGAATATTATGTCCATTTCTCTTACGGTTTCAAATTTATTTATATAGACTAGTTGATAGTATTCCCTTATTATATTTTAAATCTCTGCTACATCTATGGTTGTGCCACGCTTTTAACTTCTAAAAGCTATTTGTGCTCTTTCTTCATAAGTCTTGATGGCTATTTGTCCAGTTTAGTAGGCTCGTCAAAGCTCTGATTCTGGTGTTATCTTTTCTTTTGTGTCATTGATTATGGATCTTGTGTCGCCTCTTTCCTTCAAATTTCTTTAGTGTCATTTGCTGTTCTTTTCCTCACTTCTGAAGTCAGGCATTTAGTTCATTAACTTTGAACTTTTCTAACGTGTATTTAAGGCTATAAATTTTTCATGAAGCATTGCTTTGTTTCATCACACACATTTTGATGTAGGAAATGACTATTCATTTAAAAATCTATTTTCAGTGTCCATGTGATTTCTTCTTTGACCCATGAGCTACTTCAGAATGTCTAAAAATATCTAAACACAGAGATTAAAAATTTATCTTCTTGTTCTTAATAACTTAATTTTTTTGTTCAGACAATGCATTCATTCAAATTATTAATTGTATTGTTCAAATCTTTTTGCTGTTTTTTTTAGCTCCTTAACCTGAATTAATTGGGAGAAGCGGTCCAGAATTTCCCAGAATTATGGTGAATCTGTTGGTTTTTTTCCTGCAGTCTATTAATTTTTGCTTTTTATGAATTGAGACTATTGTATTAGATCCTTGAATATTCATAATAGTTGGATTTTCTTGATGAATTGAACCAATTATCACTGAGAGAAACCCTCCCATCATTAATGTTGCTTTCTTACAGTCTATTTTGTCTGATAGTAATGTAGCTAAACCAGCTTTATTTTGATCTGTTTTCACCTGGTAATTTTTCCATGCTTCTACTTTCTCTTCGTATGTCCTGACAGTTTAGGAGCGTCTTTTCCAGGAGCTGCAGCTTGTTTTGTTTTGTAATAAATCTGGCAATCTGTCTTTTACCTGGAGAGTTTAGTCAATTCATATCTGTATTTTTCCTATTATAATATTAACTTTGCCACTTTCTGTTTTGTTTTGTTTTTTCCTTCTAGATAGTGACAAACCCTACTACAGTATTTTCTAGTTCTCCCTTCTCTGATTGCTTACAGAATGTTCTGGGTTTATCTTATTATTTGAGTACTTCCTCTAAAAAAAGCCTCTGAAGCTGTGCCTGCGTGAGAAGATTGCTCTCACGATTTGGGTCTTAAGTTTAGTTATTTGGGTATTTATCTTGCTTGGGATCTGCTGACCTTGGCTTTGTGGGTGGATGCATTTCTTCATTTTTAGAAAATGCTCGCTTACTACCTCTTCAAGTTTTTATTTTCCGCATTCTGTCCCCTCCTTCTGGGACTCCGATCACACACCTGCCTGTCTGTCTGTCCCACAGACGTCTGATGCTCTTGTTTTTGAGAAGGACTCACTCACTAATGGCTCATGATGCACTTTTCTTCCTCTGATCTGTCTGGACGGTTTTCTGGGCGCCTGGGGCTCTGTGCTTTGTCTTCTGTGGTATCATTCTGTTGTGAGCCTATGCGATTTACTCTTCACTTCGGATGTTGCATTTTCTACTTCGTTACTTGATTTTCTTTCCTGTGCTCAAATGGTCTCTTGTGTCACTCATTTTCCCCCCTTTTAAAAAATATATTTATAATGGCCATTTAAAAGCCCTTATCTGCTGATTCCGACGTGAATGATGGATTCCGTTCGTCTGCCGTCCTGTTTCCGTCGCCTGTTTCTCCTCCTGTAGATCACGTGTCGTGCCTCCTCACCTCCCGGGCACAGTGCACACGAGAACAGAGAGACCCGGGCAGAAAAGCCCGCCCCAGGGACGCACATGTTCTCTTCTCTGCCGGGCAGCCGAGCTGAAGAGCTGACCTCTAGGAGGTGCTCCGGCCTGGGCTGGGCACTGTGCTGGTCACAGCTCATGACTGGTTTTAAATGCCTGAGGGCTGGCACAGGCCTCTCCCTCCGGGTGGGCTCGGGATGCCAGCTTGTAAGGCTATGGAACCCCTTGGCTTCCCACGGAGCCCGCGGGAAACCTGTGGGCGCTGAGGACTTGCTCCGCGTCTGGGACCCCTATACCGGCGCATCCCGCCCACCCACGCCAGCGTCAAAAGCGTGGTGCGACTTCCCTGCAGCACGAAGCACGTGCCCGTGGGGGGCTCGCTCCCGGGGTGACGCGGCCGACGGTCCCTCTGACCGAGGAGGGGCTCACCCGCACGGCTCTGCATCCTCCGCTCTGACAGGTCGAAAGGTGATTCTCCAGCTTACCTGGTGTTGGGCTTTTATGTCACAGCGAGGGCGGTGGTGTTTTGTAACTGTCTAGACTGTTACTGAACGGACCTCCTCAGTATTTAAAAATGCCACCCTTGATGCCACATCTGTCGGGAAGCCCGGCGGCCATCTGCCCCGTGTTCGGTTTTTGCCTCTGGGTGCTGTAAGAATTTCCTCTGCCTCTGATACTCTCACATTTTATGATAATGTGTGTAAGGTTCCTCTTTTCTCCTGGTGGGGGTCCTCGTCTGGGAGCCTCATTCTAGGAATTGAGCTCCAGGGCAGCTCTGACATCTCATCCCATTGTTATTCTTCTCTGACTCTCGGGCTCCTGACCTCAGTGCACACGTCTGCTTCTGCCCCAGAGCCCCCGCATTCTCTTTATGACTTACTATACTTCCCGCTTGTCTCTGGAACATTCCTCAAGTCGACTTCTCAACTCATTAACTCACTCTTCGTCTGTATCCACTTGCGGACCATTCAGCTGTTACAGCTTTCCAGCCTTCTTCCTTCGCTTTCTTTAAAATGAGTTTTATGGGTCCTGTTTTTATGGCCGCGTTTCCTTCTGTGTGTTCGCCAAGCTTGTTCACACACATGTCCATTGCGGTACTTGGGCTCCCGACTGCGCGTCATCCGCACTTTGTTTCCTGTCTGAGGTAGTTGCACATCTCAGGCATCTTGACATTTTGGCTTGTGAGCTGACGTTTTCTTGGGGTCCTAGCTCCCTGATGACATGTTGGGAGGTGCAGCACTGGGGGGCGGGGGTGGCCCTGGAAGGCCAGGATGATGGAAAGATGCCTGCGGCCAGGCAGTCCCCTCCCGTTTCCTAGACGTCTTCATCTAGGGCGTGGCAGGGCATTCGGGACACAGGAAGGGGTCATGCGCCCCACCCACCTCTGGATGCTGTCACTGTCCCTAAGTCACTCCCTTCAGGAATGCCTGTTTCATGGAAACGGTGTCAGTACCACACAGACTTTCTGATGAGGGGACTTGGGAACGCCTGCCTCCACACAGCACGCCTGCAGTCATGCCGGGACCCATATCCGCAGCAGCGTCTGCCAGAGGGGGGTCCTGCCTCCGGGCCGTGCAGCTGGCGCGCTGTGGGGGCCCAGGGATGACGGTCTGCAGAGCAGCACCCCTCACGTGGCCCTGGGGGTCCTGGGGACCTTGCTGGAATGCAGGGTCTGATCCCTGAGTCTGGGTGAGGTTGGGAGCAAGAGGCAGGCCCTAGACCCTGACCTGCCTCATCAGGACCCTGCCCAGAGGCCGCCCCCTGACCTCAGCTGCTTTGTCTGCAGAGTGGGCCCACGTGAGGGTGTGGGACCCCGGCTCTGGCTGCTCTGAGGCCAGGCCAGAACCCAGCCCTGTGCCCCTCCTCCTGGGGAGGAGGGTGTGGACCTTGCTGGCTTAGCCCACCTGCCCTCCCGCCCCACCCCAGAGGGCCCGCAGATCACCGTGGCATCGGGGAAGCTCGCTCCAGACACCCTGTGGCTGGCAAACCCGGACGTGCTTGGGGGTGCTCAGGCTGTAGCCTCGGTCACACACGTACAGGGCCACCGAGCCCAGGCGAGTGCCGCTGGAGTGCAGTGTGGCATGCTCCACCTCCTCCGGGGGGCCGCAGTCCACCTCTGCAGGGACACAGCCTGTCCTGCACTTCCAGGCAGCAGCCTGGCCTCTCCCCTGCCCACCAGGCCCAGGCCCCAGCCCCGCCCCTGCACAGCGGGCCCCAGGCGGAAGGTGCCTTGACTCCCAGGACTGCCTGCCCGGCGGAGTCCCTTCCTCCCTGTCCCCCTCTCCCTCAGCAAGCCCAGCTGGCCCTGCTCTGCTCTTCCACGCTCAGCGGGAGCTGCTGTGCCCCCCCCACCTCTGCCCTCACCTGCCTGGCACCGGTGTCCTGTGTACCCTGCTTGGCAGCGGCAGGAGAAATCTGTGCCCAGGTCCTCGCAGGTACCCCCATTCACGCAGGGGCTCTGGGAGCAGGGGGAGGGGGCTGCAAGGAGGCGGGGGTCACTGAAGGCCTCTGGGCTGCATGGGGCTGTTCTGCCTCCGGTAGCCGACCCCTCCCCCACTCCACGGTGGGGCCGCCCCTGCTCCCTGGGCCTGTCTTCTCCGTGGAGGAGATGCTGTCCCCAGCTGCTTTGGCAGCGCTGTCCCTAGCTGGCCTGGCCTGCAGGCCTCTGCCCACCTCACCTATCTCGCAGTGCCGCCCAGAGAAGCCTGGGGGACAGTCACACTTGTATTTGCCGATATAGTGGAAGCACGTGCCACCGTTGTGACAGGGGCCAGAGGCGCACGAGTCTGGCTTTCCTGGAAGCAGAAGGTGCCCTTGGGGTCAGGTGTCCTGTGCCCATTACCCACGACCCCTTCCCAGATCCTCTGCATCTCAGTGCTGGGGGCCTCAGGGAGAAAGTCCTGGCGCGCAGACACGTGGCAGTGGGCCGGGGCTCTCCCCACGCCCCCCAGGCGCCCCCCAGCAGCGGGCCCGCACCGATCTCACAGTGCCGCCCGGTGAAGCGGTAGGGGCAGCTGCAGTGGTACTCGCCGCTTGCCTCCTTGCACGTGCCCCCGTTCCTGCAGGGCCCTGAGCTGCACAGGCGCGGCCGGGCTGTGTGGGGGGAGAGAGACAGGCCGGTGAACAAGGGCCTCCTGCCCCGTGGTGCCCGTGGTGCCCCGCATCTCAGACCAGGCACCTGTGGACCCCACAGGCTGGGCCCGCCTCGGCTGAGCTGCGAGGCTGGGCAGCAGGGGCCCAGCCAGCCAGGTGCATGCCAGGTAGGACTTGCCACTGGAGACCCTGCTCGGCCTCAAGCTCCCCTGAGGAGCTGGCCAGCCTGGGCCTGGACTCGAGGGGAGCCATGACTACAGCACAAGTCCGGTGCATTTGTCCTCCCATGTGGCGGCCACACAGGCCCAGCAAGGAGTTGCGGCCCTCGGCCGTCTCCACGTTCTTGGGGGGCAGGGGGCCTGCCTGCCATGCTCAACCCTTCTGTTCCCCCACCCCACACCCTGCAGGGCCACCCCACCCTCGAAGCAGCCCTGAGTGCCCTGTGTCCAGAGTGCAGGGCCTCAGCAGCACGTGCAGAGTGGCAAGCAGAGAGGCCCCCCACCCCGGGAACCTCCTCCTGCTGCAGGGTGGGGGAAGTGGTGGGTGCTGTGTGTCTGAGTGTCAGGGACCTCCCTCCAGGCCACCGTGAGAGCAGGAGAGGCTTCCAGAAAAAGCCACTGGGGTCTCGGCTTCCCAGACAGAGAAGGGCAGCGGGAGAGCCAGGGGCATGTGCAAGGCCTGAGCTCCGAGCCCCGAGCCCCAGGGAAAGGGCCGTGGCCACACTGGGGTCTGGTGGCCGGCCCTCTGGGCTCTGACCAAGGCGTGCATGGGATGCACAGGCCACTGAAAGCGGTCCTTTACGTCGCTCCAAACTGCATGACAGGAACAGTTTGGGGGCCAGCAATGCCTGCAGTGTGCTTACAAAGCATTTACCTCCTTGAGTGGCTGAATGTTGTGAAATGTTGATGTTTTCCAGGGCAAATTAAATTTAACAAAGCCCTGATTTTTAAGTCAGTGACTCTAGAACCCATTTGGAAAAGTGCTGGGCAGGAAATAAGGCCTTTTCTGAGGGAAACAAAGTGATGACCAGGACGAGCCCAGGCCCAGGAGGAGGGGAGGCCAGCTGGGGGGATCCTGCAGGGGCTCGGAGTGGCAGCCCAGGGGCCCCTCGTCCCCCACCTTTCTCGCAGTGCCTGCCGTGGAACCCGCGTGGGCATGCACACGTGTACGTGTCATCGTGGGCATCACAGGAGCCTCCGTTGAAGCAGGGGTCAGAGTCGCAGGGCGATGGCAGTGCTGGGGGCAGAGGGCGGTCACCCTGACATCCTGGCTGTCACCAAGGGGGCCCCCGGAAAAGCCTGTGCTCTTGAATTACCAGGATTCACCCCCCTTCTTCTACCAGCTCGGGCTGAGCAGTGTCCACACAGCTTTGTGCCACCACGTGAAGCTTCCCTCATGTAAGGCATTCATGATTGTACACCAACAGAGGTGTGGCAGAAACTTCTAGGCGGGTCAGGCCTGTGCTGACCATTTTAACAGCCAAGAGGGGCTTGGGGAAGATGCTGTCGTGGCTGTGAGCTCACTGCAGTGGAGCAGAGCGGGCGGACAGCTGGGCATGTCTTGGGCGGTCAGGCCTGCCCACCTGCGTGCCTCTGCACCCACCACTTCCCCTCCAAACATCCTCCCCCTGGTTTCTGGGCTGCCTGCGCCTGCGCCCCGTGCCCACTCACAGTGGCTGACGTTGTGTCCTGTGTGGCAGACGCAGAGATAGCTCCCGCCGTACTCCATGCAGTAGCCCCCGTCAGGGCACTGTGTGTTCATGCTGCAGGGCGTGGCTGTGACCTCTGTGGGGAGAGGAAGACCTCGTGAGTCTCCCTGGGGACCCTACTGGGGCGACAGCTTCAGGCACTGCGCCAGCCCCTCCAGGGGACAGGTCCCGGGACAATTCCTTGTGGGGCTAGGCCTGTGGACTGGGCCCAGCCCCAAGCCACCATTCCCACCCTGCTTTGCGGAGTCTCAGGGCAGGGCAGGGAGGGCACACTGGGCACCCACCAAATTCACAGAGGAGCCCGAAGAAGCCTGGGGGGCACTGGCAGAGGGTGGCGTTGGCTCTCGGGCATCTGCCACCATTGTGGCACTCACAGCCACTGGGGGTTCCTGCCACGGAGGGAGGGAGATGCTCCAGTGAGTGGTGCCGGAACGTGGGGCCCTCTCCTGCCCCTGCCGTTCCTGGCCACCTCACAAGAGCTGCTCTGTGCACACATTCACACATGCACGCACACTCGCTCTCACACACTCACACGGGTATTGGCATGCACCCCTGCCTGCCTTCCCGCATGCACAACCCCTGGGAGGTCCCAGCCCTGGAACACAGTTCCAGAGACCCTGCCCACACTCACTGTCCCTGCAGTCCAGGCCTGTGAAGCCTTGGGGGCATTCGCACACGTAGCCCCGATCTGCATCCACACAGGTGCCCCCATTCTGGCAAGGGGCCGAGAGGCAAGCGTCAGGCACTGGGTGGCTTCCTGCAAGAAAGACAGTGGTCACCAGAGGTGGTTAGAGCTGGGGATGGGAGGCCGGGGGCGGGGAGGGCTGGGCTCCTGCTCAGCACCCACAGCACACGTCGAGGGGCTGACCTCCCCTCTCAATGTCTCTTCTCCGGAAACGTTTCTAGCTGCCCCTCATCCTTGAGCCCCCTCTTTGGAGCAGAATGGGAAGCAAGCAGAGGAGACCTCCCGTGTGCACCAGAGGACCAGCTGAGGCCTGAGGCCTTCAGGCGTTCCTGACCAAGCACTTGCTAGTGAAGTATTTGGGGTTTTCCAGACGTCCTTCTGTCATGGGTGTCTAGTGTAATTCTGCTCTAGTTAGAGAACATACCCTCCTAATTTACTGAGCCTTGCTTTACAGTCATCAGGACGGTCTGTCGTAGGGAATGTTACACAAGCTCTTGGAAAAGAGTGTCTTTAAATGTCACTTAGGCCATGCTGGCGGCCAGCGCTTTCTCCCCTCCACATGCCTGCCTGCTGGTTCTGTGTGTCCCTGAGGGAGGCCATCGGGCCCCCCGTTGTCCCAGATCTGCCTCTCCCCCTGCCATCTGCCAGCTTGTACTTCATGTATTCCGATGCACGTTACTAGGTACATAGGTGCAAGTGTATTTAGTGTTGCCATGTCTTCTTGACGAACTGACCCTTTGTGACTATAAAAGGAACCCCTCCATTTCTGGCAGTATCCCTTTTTTCTAAAGCTCAATCTGATACACACACAGCCATGCCAGCATTTCTTGGTGTTTGCCAAACCTATCCCTTTTTGTTTTTTAGATGTTCGATTTCTTCATCTTATTTTGGAATTTATCTTGTAAATTAACACACAGTAACACTGACTTCGGTCTGATGCACATGCCTGTGCAGTTGAACACATGCATAGATTTGTGTGACCCCTCCCAGTCAGGACACAGAACACCGCAGCGCCCCAAAGCCTCCCTTGATCTGCCTCCTCAGGGCCACAGACTCCCTCTGCTCCTGAAGCCCCGGCCACTACTGATCTGTCAGTCACTATAGTCCTGCCTTTTTAAGGATGTGAGAGAACAGAGCCACACAGTGTGGGCTCCTTGGAGACTGGCTTCTTTCGCTCAGCAGAATGCCTCTGAAACCCACAAGGTTGGTGTGCATCAGTAGCTAGTCCTTTCTATGACTTCCTAAGCATAGTCTTCCATGGTCTATGTCCATCGCCCACCCAGGGAAGGATGTGTGGGTTCCCAGGCTTCGGTGCTGATAAACAGGCATGCTGTAAACATTTGTGCATTTTATGTGAACATGTTTTCTCTTCTTTAGGGTTCTACCTAGGGGTGCGATTGTGGGTCATATTTTAAGTGTATATTCAACTTGATGAAAAACTGCCAAACCATTTTCAGGATGGCTAAACTGTTTGGCATTCTCACCAAAAACTGTGAGCATGCCCATTGCCCTGCATTCTCGCCAGGTATTTTATTTGAGCTGTTCTGATAGGTTTGCAGTGGCATCTCACCTGACTTTAATTTGTGTTTCACCAGTGGCTAATGATGATGACAAGTTAGAACATTTGTTCATCTGCTTATTTGCCTTCTGTAGGTCCTTTTTGGTTAAATGTCTGTTTTTTTTCTTTTGTCTGTTTTTTGACTGGTTGCTTGTTTTCTCACAGGTGAGCTTTGAGAGCTCTTTACACGTTCCAGACACCAGGTCTTTGTCAGACGAGAGTTTTGCAGACACTTCTCCCAGGCTGTGGCTTTTCTCCTCATTTTCTTAGCCATGCCTTTCACAGAGCACAAGTTTTTAAATTTGATGAATTTCAGTGTATTTCTGTTTGAAGAATTGTGATTTTGCTGTATTTTCTAAGAATTTTTGCTTAACCCCAGGTCACAAAGATTTTTCTCCAATGTTTTCTTCAAAAAAAATGTTTACATTTTCCATTCAGGTCTCTGATTCATTGAGTTAATCTTTGTACGAGGTGTGAGCTTGAAGTTCATTTTCTGCATAAGGATGTCTCTGTTCCAAAACCATTTGTTGAAAAGATCACCCTTTCTTTACCAATACCACATGGTTTTGATCACTATAGCTTTATAGTAAGTCTTAATACTTTTGACTATCCTAATTCCTTTGCTTTTCCCTATAAATTTTGGAACCCTAATTCCTTTGCTTTTCCCTATAAATTCGGAAAAATTCAAACCCCTATAAAGTTTGAATTCCAACTACAAAAAAACCCACTGAGGTTTTGGTTGGAATCATATTAAGTCTATAGATAAACTTGGGGAGAACTGACATATTTACTATATTGAGCCTTCTGGTCCATGAACATGGTATGTCTCTTCATTTACTTAGGTCCTCATTGATTTCTTTCATCAACATTTTATAGTTTTCAGCATACAGATCCTGTACATGTCATATTAGATTTATACCTAAGTCTTTCAATTTGGGGGAAGCTATTATAAATGGTACTGTTTTTGATATTTTGGATCAGAGTCCACGGGCCCAACTAAGGGAGCTCAGAAGTCCATAAGTAACATTATAGGGTTGCTGTCCCAAGATCCCCCTCTCCAGTCTCCCCGGTGCTTTCCAGTTCTCTGGGGCCACACTTTTTAGTCTTCTGGCAAGAACACTGGAGTTTTAATCGCCCCACTCTGCTGCATACTTCCTGAGACTGTACTCAACTCTGGGGCCAAGGGGTGGAAGGACAGAGAAAGGGGGAAACAGTGGGAGTCTGCCCACCCTCATGAGGCCGTAGCACCTCCAACTGGAGAGGAAGGTTCCCCAGCCCTTGTCAGCTTTAGGCACCTGAGGGCTCCCCCATTGCTGCCACCGTTGGCTCTGCTTTTCAGTCTGACTCAAGGGCTTCTCCTGGAGTTCCCTCTTTGTCCATGCTGATGCTCACTTCTGGTTTTTGGGGTCACCTTAAGTCCAGGCAGGGGGGATACCAGAGGGGAAAAATGGTGAACTCACCACCGATTCTGTGGCGCTTGGAAGCTCAGTCTTCTTCCGCAGTCCGCTTGCCACTACTTATTTTCAGAGCCCTCGGATAGCTACTCCATCCCTCTGCCCAGGCTGTGTAGCCGCATTCGGTGGGAGGGACGGGGTGCAGCGCGCTTACCCCCTCTAACTCAGAACCGGAAACCCACTCTGCCAGCTTACAGCCATCTGTGAGTTTACACTGATGGTAGGGTTCTTGTGGACAGTATACAGTTGGCTCTTGCTTTTCAATTCATTTGCACAATATCTGCTTTGTAACTGGTGTGTTTAACAGTTTTACATTTGAATGTAACTAGCAATGTGATTGTATTGAATGTATAATCTTACTATTTGTTTTTATTTGTCCCACTTCTTCTTTGTTCCTTTTTTCTTCTTTTCCTGCCTTCTGGGTTGAGTATTTTTAGGATTCCATTTTTTCTCCACAATTGGCTTATTAGCTATAACTGTTTATTATTCTATTTTTACTTATTGCTCTATGGTTTCCAATGTATTTCTTTAACTTATAATAGTTTACCTTCAAGCAATATTATGTCCCTTCAAATATAAGGTAAGGATCTTACAATATTATGCTTTCTTTTCTTCCCCCCCATCCTTTATGCCAGAAGCAGCTAAGCTGTGGCCCACAGACAAAATCTTGCCTGTCAGTTAAAAAAAAAAAAAAGTTTATTGGAACACATCCATGCCCATTCATTTTCATATTGTCCATGGCTGGCTGCTTTTGCATTACGGTGGCAGAGTTGAATAACTGTGACCACATGGCTTGAAAAGCCAAAAATATTAATATCTGGCCCTTTACAGAAAAAGCTTGCACATTCTGCCTTAAGCTATTGGTGTCATACATTTTATTTCTATTTATGTTATAAACACCATTTCTATATATATTTTCAAGTTATCTTTAAAGAGATTAAAAAGAAGTAAAGTCTATTATATTTACCCATATATTTGCCACTTCCAGAACTCTACATTCCTCTGTGTAGATCCAGATTTTCATCTAGTATCATCTTTCTTGTGTCTAAAGAACTGCCCTTAACATTTCTTGTCATGCAGATATGTTGGTGCCAAATTCTCTGTTTTTGATGTCTGAGAAATCTTTATTTCACCTTAGTTTTTTTACGGATAGTTTTTCTGGGTATATACTACTAGGCTGACTTTTTTTCTTTCAGTGCTTTAAACACGTTGCCCCTCCATCTGCTGGCTCGTGTTGCTTCCAATGAGAAGTGCGTTATTCTTTCTCTGTAGTACTGGGCCTTTTTCTTCTGGCTGATTTTAAGATTTTCTGTCATAGGTTTCCAGCAATTTGATAATGTGTGGCTTCGTGCAGTTTTCCTCATGCTTTTCTTGGACATGTGGGTTTTAATTTGTGTCAAATTTATACAACGTTTGGCTATTACTTCTCCATATACGTTTAGTGTACCCTTCCAGCCCCCTCCTCCCCGGGACTCCAAACAAAGGCACCCCAGACTGCGTGACACACGTCCGAAGGCCACTGTTCTTTGTTTTAGTCTCACTCTCCCCGTGCTCGTGTTAAGTTGTTTGTCTCTCTCTCTCTTCAAGTTCAGTGGTCTTTTCTTCTGCAATGTCTAACCTGCTGTTAAAACCATCCAGTGTATTTTTTAAATTCCTGTATTATTTTCATCTAGAGAAGTTTCTTTTTTTTTACATGTTCTACTTCTAATGGTGTCTTTTTTCCTCAACAGTCTTGAGCATATAGAGCATGTTCATAACAGATGATCAAACATTCCTAATTCAATTCATAAACATTGGCAATTCTATCATCTCCACCGTCTGTTTCTATTGATCTATTCTTCTCCTGGCTGTGGGTCATATACTCTTGATTCTTAGTAAGCCTGATAATTCCAGGATCCTGGGTTTGGTTATGTTCCTTTAAAGAGTGTGAGATTTTATTCTGGCATATGCCTAAATTACTTGGGATCACTTTGATCCTTTCAAACTTTAAGATTTGTTAGGGCAGGTCAAATTAGCCTTTAGTTTATCCCCACTGCTAAGGTGATACCCCATCAAGAATTCTACCTGGTATTGGTTTGGCCCTGGGTATGAGGAATCTCTCCACCCCAGCTGGTGGAGAGGTGGATTGTCCCCAGCACTGTCTGAGTTTCAGGAATTGCCTGACTCACTGCTCCCAGTGGTCCTTCCCCCAGCCTGGAGGACCTCACGCCACACAGCCTGCACTGCAGAGACTGAAGGGTCCCTCTACAGATCTTCAGAGCTTGGTCTCATGCTCTCTCTCCTTCTCCTTCCCCCTCAGTAGCTCCATGCTTGCTGGTATTCTTCCCACAAATTCCAGCCACTGAACTCAAATCTCTGTCTCCTCGACTCAGAGACTCGGAGGAACTGCTGGAGTCTGGGTCCCCCCACCTCCCTGCACAGCAGCCTGGACAGATCCCCAGGCAGACGTTGGGGCAGCTGCCAGGCTCACTTCACCCCCTCCCCTCAGGGATGACAATCCCATGCTGTCTGTTGTCCAGTGGCTGAAAACAGTTGTTTCATATATTTATCTGTTTTTCTGGTTGTTGATGGTGATAATGAGGAGAAGTCCCAGAGCAGTTCATTCTTCTTGGCCAGAGCAGAACACTAGATACTCTTGTTTTATGATCTCTGATCTCTGGCCCACTTCTGGTTGGCTCTGGCTGGAAGCCCAGGTCTGACCGTGTAGGGCGGCCGATGCACCGACGTCGGGACTGGGGCGCCAGGTCTGTTCGCTCTCATCGGGTTACTCTTCTGCCCAGTGCACTTTCTCAGCAAGATCTTTTGAAGTCATTTACCTGGTTTTCTGACACGAGTTCAGTTGAACACACTGATGCTTAGATGACAGTCTGGGTGAGATGGCTCTTTGTAATCAAGCAGCTGAAGCCTGCCCCTGCCCGCCCTCCACACCCAGCCCTCCCTGCGTGTGGCCATTTGGCCACAGTCTGATGGAGGGCACAGTGTCCACCTGCGCCTCACGTACGAGCAAACTATAACCTCCTTCCTAAGGTTTTAGACTCAAAATAAACCTGAATGGTTTGTTTTGAGCATCTCCCTGGAGAGAAGCTCTCATGCTTTGTGTACAGCTGCTGTGGGACAGGGCAAAGCCTTGCAGGTCAGGACAGTGTCAGGCACGAAGGCCCTGAATCCACCCTGGGACGTAGAGTCCTGCTGGCCTTTGAACTGACCTATGAGTCACAGCCAGGAAATGGAATAGAGACGAGCAGAGCTCATCACAGGAGTTCTGCCTCAGTTTCTCCCTGACTCCCAGGGCTCTCTCGTCTCCCTGCAGGTGAGGGGCCTGGAGTGTGGCCATCCATCCCTGCCCTTTACAGATGAGCCCAGGCCCAGAGGCGAGACTGCTCAGCCCCACACAGCACAGGGTGCAGAGCCAACACCAGGCCATAGGTGCAGGTGGGCAGGAAGCAGGGAGGGGTGGGGAACCCTCACCCCAAGACAGAAGCTCAGCCCAGTGGATGGTGAGGGAGAAGGGATGGGTGACTGTGAAAACCGATGTGGCCTGAGGGGGCTGAGGGAGCTACCTGTCTCACAGCGGGGTCCCTCGAAGGGCTCTGTGCACAGGCAGGTGAAGTTCCCCACCAGGTCCACACACGTTCCCCCGTTCAGGCACGGGCCAGAGCCGCATTCATCCACCTCTGGGGCAGCGGAGAAGGGTCTTGGCTGCAGCCAGCCCTTGGCCCCCTCTCATCCCCCCGCCCTGTGGCCCTGGGGGGCACTCACCTGTCTCGCAGGCCTTGCCCGTGTAGCCAGCTGGGCACACGCACACTGCAGAGCCGCCCTCCTCCTGGCACTGGCCGCCGTGCTCACACCCCTTGGTAGCACATGGCGACTGTACTGCAAGTGAGGAGGGGGAGGCCCTTGGGGTCCTGGCCGTGGTGCCCGGGCGTTTCTGCGGAGCCCTGCTCCCAACGTGGCTGGTTGACTGGGGAGCGTGTCAGGCCGTGGGGCCCGACCGGGTAGCAGAAAGCCCGCAGGAACTGTCTACTTCAGCGGCTGGGGCGGAAGGAGGGTGTGTGGGTGCCGGGCCGGCCCACCTCTCTCCCAGGCGGGCCCGGGGAGAAGTGTTGTCCAGATGGGACTTGGGGACCAGCTGGATTCCTCCCAGCCAGGTCCGGAGCACAGCTGGCGACTAAGCTTGGAGGGTGGATGATGCCCGGGGGTACAGGAGGGGCCCGAATGGCCCGCGGGTGAGATGCCTCTGTCCGCCCTCGCCCGGGGTGTTGGCCTCCTGCTCGGCTCCTGCGGGCTCTGGGGGCTGAAGCGGGTCCTGAGGCCTGCGAGCCTCGGTGAGGGCCTGGGGGCTGGGGCCTCACTGGGCTGGGACGCGCGCATGCTCTGGAGTAGACTAGAACATTCCGGCAGCCAGCAACGTCAAACACTGACGCGCTGGTGTTTGTGCACACCCAACTGAACGTATTGTGTGTTTCTAGTTAATGGTTACACATCAGTAAGTGTATTTAGGGGGACTGTTGTGTCTGGCAGAGCCCGGTAGGGACTGGGGGTCAAGGTGCTTTGATTTTAAGGGGCTCCTTTTACTGGGCTCCCCTAGCAGCTTCCCACAAAAAGACTGGGGACAGGACTGGTGGTCTGCCTTCCTTCACCAGGTGGGTGAAGGGCCAGGGTTCGGGGGCCCCAAAGAGGTACAAGGCAGGTGGCAGAGGCTGCATCCGACAGGTCTGCTTCAGAAGAGCCAGGCTCAGAAGGGGTGCAGGCAGGGAGTGTGGGGAGCAGTCTGGAAGCAGAAGGGGTGTCTTGAGGGGGACCCCAGTCGTGCCTAGACTGGAGAGGAACAGCTGCACTCCTGCCAGGAGCTGCTGGGGTTCAGGTTCTGGGGGTGCAGGCAGGAAGAGGCTGGGGTGGGGGAGTCGGTGCACACCGCGGAGCCACCCTCCTCCTGGCACTGGCTGCCGTGCTCACACCCCTTGGTACCACATGGCGACTCTACTGCACAGATGGGACTTGGGGACCATCTGGATTCCTCCCAGCAAGGTCCAGGACACAGCCTGTGACTAAGATTGGAGGGTGGACGACGCCCTGCAGCAGCCCTGGCCAACCTCAGAGGCCCTGTGGCCCCATCAGGCCAGCCTCGGGGCGGGTCCAGGCACAGCCAGGGCCGCCCTCATTCAGGCCCTGCTCCAGCCTGGATACGGTGCCAGGGCCCTCTCCTCTGGGGCCTGGGCCTCTGTCCCCTTGGGCCTTGCTGGCTGCCCATGCCCAGTGCCAAGCCCTCTGTGGCACGGCGACCTGATGCTCCATGGTGCTGCCCCCTGCCCCCTGGTTTGGCAGGCCCGTCCCAGCTGCCCTGCAGCCAGCCACACCATGGGGCCTGGCAGGTTCCGCCTACCTGTCTCACAGGTGGGTCCCCCAAAGCCAGCCGGGCACTGGCAGCTGAAGCTGTTGACGCCGTGTGTGCAGGTCCCGCCGTTCTGACACGGGTGGGAAGCGCACTCGTTCACATCTGCAAAATGGGGTGCGCTGGGGCCTCAGTGGGGGAAGCCGGGCTGGGAAGGATGCGCCCCGCCCTGGGGTGGGGGCAGCAAGCTGGCCCTCCCGAGCCCCGCCCGCTCCCCCGGCTGCGGCACCGGTGGTCCCTGCGCTTGCCCCCCGTGGGGCCCCACCCACGTCCCCTGTACCGCAGGGACAGAGCCTCGGCCTGGGGCCCTTGCTGCGCTTGTGGGGGACTCACCCAGGTGGCACCTCCTCCCTGTGAAGCCCGAGAGGCAGGAGCAGGAGTAGGAGGGGTTTCCCGTGACACAGTCATCGATGCACTTGCCCCCGTTGAGGCAGGGACGCAGGGCCAGGCACACGGAGGCTGTGGGCACGGCAGCACGGGCGTCACCCTCTCCTCCCCTGACCCAAGGACACTCTGCAGAGCCACCGTGGCACCGAGGTGGCTGAGCTGGCTTCCGCTTCCCATGTCTGCTGGGCGCCCAGGGGGACTGCTGTCTGCCTGCACGTCCACGCGGGCAGGCTTTCCTGGCGTCCTGTCCCCCCAAGCATCTCCCCATCTCTTCAGTCCATCACAGGGCCCCAGTGATGCCCGGCAGACAGGGAAATGTGAGCGCTCCTCGGGGAAGGAATGCCCGGGGACCCAGGAGGGGATCCCCCGGTGTGTCTGCGCTGGGGTTGGTGGACCAGGGACCCTCAGACCCTCCTGGGGGTTTGCAGTCTGTCTCCGGCGCTGCCATAGTTAGAGACCGGGCCTGCGGGGCCGCCCCTCCGGTGTCGCTGTGTGTGCAGTGGGCGGCTTGCCCACTCAAAGCCATTCAAGCTGCTGTCGCTCAGGGGCCCCTCCTGGCACTCCCGGAGGCCACCCGACCCCAACAGGCAGTCCAGAGGGCTTGGCTCACGGAGCCCCGGGACCTCTTCGGAGAGGCAAAGCTGCTGGAACCTGCCGACCTGTGGCCCAGGACACCACCAGGGCTGTGGGTGTCTTTCGGGACTCAGCCACGCTGTCACTTAGTCTGCTGGGGCTTGGCTGCCCTGCACTGAGGGTGGCCGTCCGTCTGCACCAGCCATTGCCGACCCAGCCTTCCTGGGGCTAGACTTCCGGATGTGCGCGCACTGCCCCCAGGTGTGAACCGACATCCCTTCTGGGAATGCGGATGTGTATATAAGGCCTCCTGCCCCAAGAATGCACAGGGTCCACCTCCTGCGCTTACAGGGTCCCACCTGGACAATGGGGACCCATGGGGCTGGTCCCTCCCCTGCAGCACTGAGGGCCTCCTTGTGGGCTAGTTTGGAGGGCCCAGCAGTACCTCTGCCGTCTGCTCCCCCAAAGCCTGGACAGTGTGGGGGAGTGCCTCCCAAGGGACTGGCTGGACCCCCTGTTGAGGACCCCACCCCGGGTCACAAGCTGCAGCTTCTGCAGGTGAGCCTGGATCTACCCACCCCTGTACCCACACCTACACCCACACCTGCCCACACACAGCTCATAGCAGTCCCCACCTGCACCCAAACCTTGCTCCCAACCCACAACCCAAGCTCCTGGCCACTGGCAGGTGACAAGCAGTCAGACCTCTCTGTACCCCTCACCATCCCTCCGCCCGCACCAAAGGAGTGGCTGTCAAAGTGGTGGTATGTGTCCTGAAGCGCCCGGAGCCCGGCTGACAGGGCAGGCGGCCTGGCGAGATCCCCAGCTCCTGAGCCCCCTGCCCTGAGAAGCCCCGCCCTCTAAGTCAGACTCAGGCTGCGGCCTGTCTGGTGTCCCTGCACCTGGGCAGCTCTGGCTCTCCTCTGTCTCAGGCGCCATCCCCAGGGCTTGGTGCCGCCTGCCCACCCCCTCCAAGTAGGCACGCCTCTGTTGGACCCAGGCCCCCTTAGACCCCGGCCCTGGGAGCGCACACCTGCTCCTGCCTGTCTGGATGGGTCCCACGCCAAGCCACCTGGTGTGGGGGCCGGACCACATCCTGCCCAGCCAGCGTGGGCTGTCCCCAAAGCCCAGGGATCGCCCTGCGGTTGGCCCTGTCGCCATCTGCCATGTGTTCTGGGCTGGAAGGAACCCTGCGTGTTGGGGACTCCCTCCCGTTGGATAGATGGTCGGGTTGTCAGACTCTGAGGCCCCACCAAGCAGCAGACTCAGGGTGGAAATGGGGGAGAGGTGCGAAGCGCCCTGCCTCCCAGGAGGCCCCGGAGCGCCCCAGCAGGAAGGAGGCGGCGTGGGAACGTGGGGCGGCGAGGACGCCTGGGCCCGGGGAGGGCGGCCGGCTCCTCTCCTTCACCCTGCAAACCAGCAGGTTGTCCCCACCCCCACCCCAAGCCGAGGCAGGAAGGCCCCCGCAGGAGGACACTGAGCTCTGGGGTGAGCCCGGACCACCCAGGGTCACTCCGGCCGCCCCGTGTCGCCCCCATGCGCCCCCGCCTGTCACCCCCTCCCTAAGCCCATGCACCCCGCGCGCCGAGCTCTCGCTCCGTCCTCTTACTTGTGTGGCTGCAGCCCCCCACGCGCACCTGGGCATCATCGATTCTGAACGCCCAGCGCCCGGGCACACCCACGTTGGTGGTGGCCTCCACCTCCGCCATGTCCGCCGTGCGGGAGCCGGGGATGCTGAAGTAGCGCCGCCCGTCCCCCGCGTTGAAGCCGGCCTGGGGGTGGGCGGGGAGAGAGCGGGGGCAGGTGCGTGCGGGGTCCAAGGCTCTGCCTGCAGGTGCGGAGACCCACCTCTCCGGGGTGGCCGGGGTCAAAGAGATCAAGTGGGAGGCCGCCTCATAAGCTGGTCAGCTCTGCGGGTCTCGGGGTACCCTCGCCACCCCCTGCACGGTCCCTGCCCATCAGCAGCCTCCCAGGTAGATTGGCACCGGCCAACAGCATTTCCAGCTGGGACACGCTGGGCCCTGCCACCTCCCCCAACTCCAGGGGCCCTAGCCTGGCCTCCGGGCCTCCCCCCCAGGGCTGGGAGCCAGAGTCTGACCTCAGGAGAGAGCAGATGGCCAGGAGGGAGTGGGTGGGGACATTAGCAGTGAGGAGGGCTAGCAGGTCCTGGGGGCTTGCCCTTGACCTCTCCCTCCACACCCAGGACTTCCTGCTGGCCTGGCCCAAGCCAGACCTCAGGCCAGCCGGTGCCCACCTCCCAGGCCTCTGTGCTGCAGCAACTGGTCCTACAGGGCTCCCCCAGGGCACCACGGGCCAGGATACAGGGGCCTCCCGCCTGAGGATGTGCTTGTGATTCTTGGCCGAGAGGCCTTGGAAAGCCTCGCAATGGCCTCTACACAGTCCCATGTGGGGATGCCCACCTGCCTTAGTGGCTCATGACAGTCCCAGTCGCAGGGGAGCAGGGGCCCTACCTGGGCTGCGATGCCCCCCAGGCCAGTGGCATTGCCCCCGCTGCTGGCATGTGTGCCTGTGGTCCACGTGACGGTCTCATAGTTGAAGATGGTGAAGGAGAATTTGCCGTCAGTGATAAGCACGGTCTGGAATGTGTTGACCTGCCAAGGAGTGGGGCCTGAGCAGGGTCCGTGTCCCCTCTTCCCTGCTCCAAGGCCCCGCCCTGTCTGCCAGCTCCAAACATACTGTCCTTGTCCACTGACCCCTCGTCTGCCTCCCCAGCTGGATGGCCAGCCGCAGAGCAGGCCCACAGTGACCCCCACCCTCGGCTGCCTCCAGGGCCTACGGTCCCCAGAGACTGGCTCTGTGAGTGAGGGAAGCCCTCACCAGGAGCAGCCGCTGGCCCCTGCAGGGGCAGGAGGCACAGAGGGCCAGTGCTTTCATGGTCAAATCCGCAAAACCACCTCGTGTGAAATGAACAAAAATGTAAAAAGAAAAAAGGGAAAGATAAAAAGAGGAATCAAGGAAAAGCAGTTTTTACTAATTAAGTTTTAGGGTTTTTGGGGAAGTCTTCCATGTATGTGTAAGCCGGTAGCGTGTACGAAGAGATACATACTATTTCAGACTGGGCAAAGGGTGGGCTGTTTCAGAAAGGGTCTTGGGACAAATAGGAAACTCTAAAAACAGTAAAATTAGAGCTTCATATCACTCATGAAAATGAACCCCAAACCAAGTAAAGTTGTAAATGAAACCATTGCAGTCCTAGAAGAAGCACAGGTGAGTGTGTGGAGCATCTTGGGGAAGGGCGTTTAAACATGATGTTTGTTAACTGCAAAAACCAAAAAGGAAACTTATGCATTTGACTACGGAAAGTGCTGAATATAAAAAGTGCCATAAGGTCAAATCAAATGGCAAACAGCAAAGTGAAAAACGTATTTATAACATACATGGCAGATAAAACTTGATACCCCTAATTCAAGTAGCACTTCACCAGGTCATAAAAACACCAAAGCAATTGCAGAAAAACTGGCAGAGGGTACGAATGGGTACACCAGGAGAGAGCACGGAAGGAAAATAACAGTGTGCTCCGTTGGGGGTACCGGGAAATGGGCATGCAGAATGTGGCCTATATGAGTGTGAGCGGGCACTGTTTGGGGGAGAAAATTGGAATCCTACAAGCAGCAATCTCCCCTCTAGAGACTCATGCAGGGATATAATGTTGCCACCAACTCGAGGCTGAGCAGTGCACAGCTCAGGGCAGAGGGTGGGTCTTGGGGCCTAAGTGCTGCCCGGCTGCGGGCTGGTCTGCAGGGTGGCACACAGTGGGGACTCGTGCAGCTTATCTCCTCACTCACATGAAAGTGAGCAACAGGGAACCAGCTTCCCACGAGGAGGGCGGGCCGTGCGGGCTCTGTGAGCCAAGATGGGCCGTGCAGGAAGCCCGACCACCTCGTTCTGGTGCCACCCTGTGCCCGGGGGTGCCACCGGGAGAGGGCTTCCAGATCCCCAGGGTGACAGGCTGGTTCCTCGCAGGGACGTGCCGCCCTGATGGCACTTCCAGGTTGAGCACAGAACATCAAGGTCCCTCTGTCAGTGCAGGAGGCGCTCTGTGCCCGTCTGTCTGCACAGCTAAGAGGTGAAATGACTCTGCAGAGGCGAAGCAGCGGTTTTAAAAATAGTATGGAAGGACTTACACGAGTGGGGAAGTGCCCATGATCCTGCTGAGTGAAAACACCCACCAGACAGTGCGTTCTAGGTGGTTCTATTTATTTTTTAAAGTGGGTTAAGATGCAAAAAGAAGTGTTTACCGGGAGTTATCTCTTGGCAGTGGATTGTATGTTTTTCTCTCTTCTTTTTGTTACAAAGACATTCTTAAAATTTGATGATAAGGAAAAACAAGTAAAACCTCCAAATAGTGGGCGACACGTGAACAGCAGTCCAGTAGTGTGAAAATTTCTTTGTGGTAGCGTGTGCAGGAAAAGCTCTCCTCTCCTGCTCACTGTCCCACTCCTGGTAAGACACGTCCCTTGGGTGCCTGGTGACACTTGCCAGCTTTCTCTTTCTGTCCTGGCTGCGAGAGCTCAGTCTGGCAGCAGCCGCTCATGGGCTCGTCCCTCTCCTGGGCTCTGTCCCCCCACACTGCTCCCTGAGCCCCCACTGGGCCCTGGGTACAGGCCTTGCCAGAAACCAGGAGCTGGTGTTCCCTGCCTGCTCGGTCCAGGGCGTCTCCCCAGGGCCCAGCACACCGCTGCCCCCAGGGGGGGCCCCTAAACACATGTTCATTAAATGGACCAACAAAAGGCTCTGAAAATGCCACTCTGCACCCCAGTGCCTCCTCTGTAGCGACCGGGTTGTGACCCAGTGATCCATCGGCCCAGGACAGGTGTTCTAGGGGACAGCTGCTGTCTTAGGGGACCCACCTGCCAAGTTGACCACCTGAGCAAAGGGCAGTTATTCTGGGCTTGCATTTTTTTTGTCTGGCATTATCAACGGGCAGAGTGTAAAGCAATAAACTTCCTGTTTTACGCTTCAAGTACAGACCAATTCCAAATAGAAACCCCATCCTAACGTCCTCCACATCTCCCTAGCGTGTGAGCCCCTGAATCGGGGCGTTAGGCCTTTTCCTGGAGGCAGGTGTTTCCAGGAGGCCCAGGGAGGGTTGAGGCTCCTCCAACCCAGCTCTGTGACCTTGAGCAAGTAACTTCTGTCCCAGTTTTCCCTTTTCTGGCAGGACCAGTGATTACGACCCACCTCAGCAAGGCGGGGGGCCCTGCAGGGGGACCCTGGGTCCCGGCTGGACATCCTCCCGTCCCCAGGAACTCACAGGGGAAGACGAGCTGCCTCCAAAGAAGGTCACACGGTACCAGGTGGCTATGAAAACCCAGGTGGCAGAGAAGTCTTGGAGCTCGGGGAAGTAGCGCCTGACGTCCTCCGTGGCTCTGTGCAGCGTGGCTGGGTCAGTGGCCTCTCGGTAGTACACGTCACCTGCCCGCCGATTGTCCACGTCTGCCCAGAAGGCTGCCACCACACAGCGGTCCTTGGCGATGGGGAAGGCCACTGGGGTGAACTGAGAAACCTCCTTCAGGAAGGATACGATCCCATTATTGTTCACCTGTCCGGGCGGAAAGCCAGAGAGGGACCGATGGGGATGGCAAGCAGACAGATGGCCGATGGCCTCCCCAAACCCCCCCAGTCACCCTCCAAGGGAGAGCCGGCCTTGGTCAGGGCATCACCAGGAGAGGCTGACAGTACCTGGTCCCTGACACAGGTCCCTCAGCCTGCTCTGTCCACTCGAGGACAGAACGCGTGCTGGGGGCACAGGCTGTTTGCTGTGCTCAGTGCCCTGTGAGTGCCCGGGCCTGTCTGGCACTGTGGGGGTGGGGAGCCCCCAGAGTGGGCCCCGGCTGTGAGCAGGCAGGGTGTGCAGGCCAGCCCAACAGCCCCAGCTCCGTGGTCCCTGTCCCACTAGGGGCCTCAGAAGGGCAGGACAGAGTCCCTGCTTCCAAGCCACTTCTGGAAGGGGGAGCAGGAGGCATGCACACTGCAGAGCGGAGGTGGGGGTGGGCAGTGGCCAGCGAGGCCACGGGGAGTCTGTGCCCATCAGTCCAGGCATGGGGAGCCCCAGAGAGCTCCTGAGCAGAGGTGGTGGAGCTGCACCTCTGCAATCATGGCCACGTGGTTGCAGTGCTGACCCCGCCACTCCCTCGTTGTGCAACCACAGGGAAAGCTGGCCTTTGGCTCTCAGGGCTCTGGTTCTTAGCCTAGTTCTGGCCTCATGCTGGGCCGGGCTGAATGAGTTCATGACCACAGAGTCAGGGTCTAGACTGTCACGATTTGCTCCAGATACCCAGACTGTGGTCAGAACTGTGCTTTTAGAAAAAAATCCTTTGAACTTGCCCTTTGCTGAGGGCTCTGTAATCCCGACCAACACAGATGCAGATAGATAGACCCCCGTCCCTAAAACCCCCAAAGAGCCTACACACAAGTGAGGAAGGGCCAATTCCGAATCGTCAGCACACGCAGCTCCTTTTCCCGAGTGGGAACATCTGCAGATCTCAGAGCAACAGCTGCAAAACAGACCTGCAATTTTAGTAGCCCTGTGGCAGGAAAGAGAGAGAACTGTCCCAGCTCAGTATAATTCAAGGTGGGGAGCGTGATGACCTCACCCTCAGCTGGGACTCGAGTCTCCCCGACACAGTTAGCAAATGGTCCCTGTGCAGACTTACATTCACCTTCACGATCCAGGGTGCCTCAAGCTTGGGCCTGGGGTTAAGGTGGTTCCTGAGAGGGGCACCAGCTATAAAATAACCCGGCTTACTATGTTCAAAGAAATCAAATGCAAGTAAAAATTTCATCAAGAGAACAATCGAAGCAATCTTGAAAAAGAATGAAGCTGGAAGACTCACACTTCCTGATTTCAAAACTTACTACGTATCTACAGTAATCAAAACAGTGTGGTACCAGCATAAGAACAGACATATAAACCATGGACTAGAATAGAGAGCCCAGAAATAAACCCTCACACATACGGTCAAATGAATTTTGACAGTGGCACCAAGACCGTTCAACAAAGAAAGGGCAGCCTTTTCAACAAATGGTGCTTGGAAAACTGGACCCCACGCAAAAGAATGAAGCTGGACTTTTACCTAACGCTATTTAAAAAATTAACTAAAAATGGATCAAAGAACTAAACATAAGAGCTAAAAATATAAAATTCAGAAGAAAATATGTGGTAAAGTGTTCATGACATTGGCTTTGGCAATGATTTCTTAGCTATGACCCCAAAGTCACAGGCAACAAAGGAAAAACTAGACAAACTGGACTTCATCAAAATTAAAAATGTTTTGTACATCAAATGACATTCTCAGTAGAGTAAAAAGGCAAGCTACAGAATGGGAGAAAATACCTGCAAATGATGTATCTGATAGGGATTAATATCCAGAATACATAGAGAGCTCCTATAACTCAACAACAAAAAATTCAAATACTTGATTAAAAAATGGGCAGGAGGCTTGAGCAGATGTTTCTTCAAAGAAGATCAGCAGCGGCCAACAAGCCCATGAGAAGACACTCGACAGCCTTAATCAACAGGGAAAGGCAAGTCAGAGCCACCAGCCGCCGCCTCACACCCACTAGGACGGCTGGCTGTTCTCAGAACAACAGCAATAATGTGTCAACAAGCATGTGGAGAGACGGTTACCCTAGTGCACTGTGGGGGGAATGTGGAATGGTGCGGCCACTGTGTTAAATAGTTGGCAGTTTCTCAAAAAAATTGCAAATAAAATTACCCTATGATCCAGCAATTCTGCTTCTGGGTGTGCACCTGTTAGTCCCCTAGGGCTGCCGTAACAAAATGCCACAGACTGAAGAATGACTTAAATGACAGAAATTTATTTTCTCACAGCTGGGAGGCTAGAAGTCCGAGATCAAGGGGCCACCAGGGTTGGACTCTGGCGAGACCTTTCTTCCTGGCTTGTGGATGGCTGGCTTCTTGCTGTGTTCCTCCACTCCAAGGGGCAGGGGGCTCTCTGGTGTCTCTGCCTCTTCCCAGGGGATCAGGGCCCCACCCTTGTGATCTCCTTAAACCTTGATTACCTCCCCAAATGCCCCATTCCAAATAAGATCACATTGGGGGCTAGGACTTCAACATAAGAATTTTTTTTCCTGGGTGGGAGACACAATTTAGTCAAAGATATGTATGCACCTTGGTTCATGATGGCATCATCCACAATGGCCAGAAGGAAGGAGTAGCTCGAGTCCCATCAATGCATGAATGAATAAGCAGAATGTGTTCTATCCATACAATGGAATATTATTCACCCTTAGATGGAAGGAGATTCTGACACTTGCTACAACATGGACGAACCCTGAGGACATTATGCCAAATGAAATAAGCCAGTCAAAAAGGGACAAACGCTGTGTGACTTCACTTATATGCGTTCCCTAGAGAAGTCAGACTCAGGGACAGGAAGCAGATGGCGGGCTCAGGGCTGGGGGAGGGGACGCAGAGTCAGCGTCAGCGAGGGGAGGGTTTCAGATGAAGACAGTCCTGGGGACGAGGTGGTGATGGCCGCTAGCACGACTGCCCTCAGCATCACTGAACTATACACTTAAAGATGGTTAGGATGGTAGATTTTGTAATATATATATTTTCCACAACATAAAAAACTGATTTAAAAAAAGATGGGGATGAAAAAATCATTAGGGATGGAAATTGATTTTTAAAAAAGCCACTTTAAATAACTAAACAGAAATTCTAGCAGCAAACCAAATAAGAATCAGAAATTAAGAACTAGATAGATTTAAGGGCAGATTTGATTCAATTAAAGAAAGAATCAGTGAACCGGAACTAGAAGACAAGTTAGGAGAACCACCCGGAATTTAGAACAGAGACAAAAAGATGGAGAGTACAAAAGGGGAATACAAGGCACATGGGAAGCAGTGAGATGTCAAATATGTATAAAATCTCTATGAGGAAAACTACAAAGTTCTGATGAACAAAATCTAAGAAGAACAAAATAAGTGGAGAGATATTCCATGTTTATGGATAGAAAGAATCACCATTTCAAGACGTCAGTTCTTCCCGACTTGATCTACAGATGCAAAGTGATCTGAGTCAGAACCCCAGCAAGTCGCTTTGTGGATATTAACGAACTGATTCTAGAACTTACCTGGAGAGGCAAAGGGCCCAGACTAGCCGACACGATATTGAAGGAGAAGAACAAAGCCGGAGGACTGACACCACCCGACCGTGAGACTCGCTGTCAGTGCGCACAGACCGAGAAGTGTGGTGTTGGCGGAAGAACAGACAGAGACCAGGGGAGCAGAACGGAGAGCCCAGGAATGGACCCCATGAATGCACGAGCCGGCCTTTGGCCAAGGAGCGCAGGCAACACCAGTGGAGCAGAAATAAGTCTCTCAGCAAATGGCACTGGAGCAACTGGACGTCCACAGGCAGAAAAATGAACCCAGTCACAGACCCGACACCCTTCACAAAAATGAACTCAAGACGGATTACAGAACTTAATGTAAAAAAAGACTCAAAAAACTATAAAACTCCTAGAGAATAATAGCAGAAAATCTAAATGACCTTGGGTATGGCAATGACATTTTTACATAACTAAAAACACATGATCACTCTTAGATACAACACCACAGGCACCACCATGAAAGACAGAACTGCTCAGCTGCACTGCATGAAAATCAAAGTCCTCTGCTCTGTGGAAGACAATGTGCAGTGGAGGAGAAGACAAGCCGCAGTCTGGGAGAGGGTATTTGCCAAGGACATATCTGATAAGGACCATTACCCAAAATCCACAAAGTGCTCTTAAAATGCAACAATAAGAACACAAATGACCTAATTAAAAAAGGGGCCAAAGACCTTAGCAGACACCTCTGGCAAATAAGCATATGAAAAGAAGCTCCACATCGAGTGTCATCAGGCACGAGCAAAGAAAGTGAAACAACAATGAGGTGCCACTACACACCTACGAGAATGGTCAAAGCCCGTGACCCCGACACTGCCAGATGCCAGTGAGGACGTGGGGCCACAGGAACTCTCACCGCTGGTGGGAAAGCAACGATCAAACCCCAGTGAAATAGCACTTCACACCCGCTCGGGTGGCTCTAGTCAAAGAAATAGATGAAAACAAGTGTTGGCGAGGAAAGTGGGCCCCTCATGCATGCTGGCGGCGTGTAAAATACTGCAGCTGCTTGGAAAAGCACTTCCTCAAATGGTTAAATACAGGATAACTCTATGTACTGGTAGCTCCACTCCTAGGACTGTATCTACATACACAAGAGAAATGAAAACATGTCCACACAAAATTTGTACATGAATGTTCATGACAGCGTTATTCATAATAGCCGAAGAATGGAACCAACCCTTATGGATTGGATAAACCAAAGCAATGGAATATCACTTGGCAACAAAGAGGTGTGAAGACCTGATACATGCTCAGCACGCAGGAACACGGCTCAGCTCCGTGAAAGAGGCCAGACCCAGAAGGCTGTGCGGCCCCATTCACGTGCAGTGTGCAGAATGGGCAGATCCTTCGACATGGAGAGCGGATTAGCGATGGCCTGGGTCGGGGTGAGCTGGGGGCTGGAGGG